GTGAACCATCCAACACATGCTGAGTGCAGTCATTACAACGCATGCCCCGACAACACAGACGCACACAGCGGCCTTTACCACGGAGTCGATCTCAGCATTACTGAAACACCAGTCACCGATTATACAATGGAATCAAGGTTGCCGTATAGTTGTTGACGTAACTCTTGACAGAATTGAACACCATATGTTATATACACATTGTATATAAACATATTTCAAAGACGAAAAGTGTTTATTTGGTTTGAACTTTCTAGACGAGTGAGTGGCACACATCCATTGCAAACCTTTTAAAAAGAATACACAATTCGTCCCCGGAGACCCTTGTGTACTTTTTCATTGGCAGCATAATGCGTGAGAAGGCACGAGAGAACAAAATAACTCTAGGCTTACTCAAAAAGGCCCATGATAATAATAACAATACTAATAATAAATACATTCAGGAAAACATATTACATGATACGACAAGGCCCAACGCCTTTAACATTGAGCTAACGTGATCCCAGCATCATGCATCATGTACATGAGAAAGTTGTTTGGATCAACAACTTTGACTAACTGGACGGTAGTTTCCATGTACAGTTACAGTTGGGACCACAGACACACAAAGAGATGACAAACATATTTTAAAATGATATTCCATTTTACAGCTTCGAGGCTCCCCAGTAGAGTTGATTAGTGAAGGCGTGCTGCTATATAGTCTTTACATGCATGGAGGTCAGAGCTGGAGCTAAAAAAAACAGATTCACGTTGTATTAACCAAGTTACACACTGCCAATTTAAAAAATATACTATGGTTAGTTCTCACTCATAATTGTCTCATTCTATTTTTCAAATCCTCGTTTCATGCAATTCATCAAAAATGTGCAGCATTGTGCAGGAAATGAGTGTTTTAACAACAAAAAACACCATAGTGACACTGAGAGACAGTATAGAGGACAGGATGGATTATGTTAATTGTTAGTTAATGGCCATGATGTCGTCTGCACTCATTTGCAGAGCTCGTTCCTCACTGCTACTTCCCTCACGGCGGCAGCGTTACCATGCAGGAGACCATGTGAGATAAGAGAGCATGCTCTCGCCTGTGAGGCGTCGCCATCTGGGTTCATGCTTGCTGTAAGGTAGGGTGAGTTCCATGGGAGGCCGGAATATCATTGTAAAATACCCTTTGAGGGGGGGGACGCCACATCTCGGGACACACCGAATGCACAGGCAGATGACAAACAGGAGCCCACCAAATGATCAAGAACTGGGATTGGAGGATCACCAACCTGACTTATCAACTCAAGGAGCCCCGGTGGGCCGCGCTGCACCTGATTTCTCCGCGAGTACTCATCTTCAACAGCGAATGGTTAGGGCAATAGGGCAAAGTGTGTGTGTGTGTATGTGTGTGTGTGTGTGGAAGTTGCGATGGATGGTGGATTTGCATTACATTTTTTTCATCATGGATTGACTTTGGTTTGTTTGTGGAGGAGACGTTACCATCTGTCCTCCTGCTTTTAAAATATACTGAAGGAACAAAAGGGGGTTATGTCACATGTCAAATCTCGGAAATGTTATTCGGACATTGTGTTTGGTAACAGAGGACACCTCGTGCTCCCAGTGGCCAGAGTCTGGCTGCGGTTCCGTTAAACAGCCTGAGCCAGCCAGCCGTCCTGCCCCTGCAGCTACTTCCAGGAGGGGAGCCCAAGAAGAGGAGGAAAGAACACCCATCCTCCCAAAGAGGCAGGACAGATGCCAAAGTAATTCCACAACATGTGCTGACATTAAACATTACAGCGAACTTTCCATATGTATTGCAACTCAGCGTTTTGTGCAAAAAGTGCCCGCAAAGAAGCCCCAGAAGGGCTCTTTTTTTTCTTTGTGCTGTCTGGGGATTATTTTGCTATTCTCGCGTTTCATCTTTCCGTTCCGTTTGGTGGAGATACGTGAGAGTAGACGTTAGACTCCTCTCACGCAGCCAGAAAGCTTTCAAAAGGAAAAAATGTGCGGGCTTCCATAGCATATTTCCATATTTGCCAGTATGTTGGATGGAAATGTTGGCATATGAAATTACTTTGAGTCATTTTCTGTCAAAACTGCTGACAGATTGTTAACGGTCCGTGACATGTAGCAGCTATTGAGGTACGGCACTCAAGCATGATTTTAAAGTACACACTATGTCCTTTGATACTTCCAGTTATCTGACTTTCAACTGATTCATTTACATTAAGCGAGTTAAACAGGTCTTAAATGTTGAATGCGGATCAAACTCCCTGTAGTTGCACATGTCATTTCATCATTTATTTTTCTTCCACAACCACAGCAGCAGATTTAACACGATCCTACTATAACCTCAGCGTAACACGTTTAACGTATGCAATGTAGCATCTCGGTGCCTAATTAGCTTGGAAATCTTACATTTTTTCTTTGAAAAAGTGCAGAGGCTTGCTATCATAAAAGGGAAACAGTTTGGCATAAACATTTATAAGGGGAAACATTTAGCCATGAAATTACTTTTTTTTACTCTGTGCCCTGCTGTTTACTGCCTTTTGATTAGAAAGGAAATAAACTTAGTAGTGCGCTTGTTTCCGGTTTACATCACCAGCGTCTGAATGATATAATTGCCCCAAATATTGGCTTAAAGGGATCTAAATTACAGACTCAATACAAGTAAATGAAAAGTATTTAGATGTGACATCAAAGCCAGTAATGATTCCTGACATGACAGATAATTCCGACAACAACGAGGAATAAAAAGCTATGACGAGTAGTCCAAAAGGCACACAGACAAATAGCATACACATAACACAAGGATAACTTTATTCAGGTCATCAATAGAAAGAGTTCAGTGTCCATTTGATTGATTCTCTGACATTCAAGTGAAAGACTGATCCCTGTAACCCAGGGAACCCGTTGAGTTATAAAGATGAAAGAAGGGAAGAGGGAGGTAGGAGGGGGGAGCCAGAGGGGGAGAGAGTGTGTGTGTGTGTGAGTGGACTCATGTGAAGCGCTTTGAATTACCTTGAGCGTCTGTGGAGCACAGCAGGGCAGCGAGGAAGGCCGCCGTGGCCAGCGACAGCCCGATCTTCATGTTTGGACGTGACAGGTCAGCAGATCATCAATCAGTCTGAGGGTGACGAGAGAAAAATGTCTTTATGCCACACGTGACACAGATCCCTTGGTGCGGCGTGAAGATCCAGGAGGGTTCGACCTCAACCCAAAGCACTTTGTGTACGCGAGACGTGTACGCGGTGGAACCACGGGCCTTTTTGAGAGCTCGAATCATTTAATCATTACTCTTCATTTTTGACACACGGCGAGATCCATTTAGACTGCATTGCACAACAAACGCCACACCTCGCTGCTTCCAGTAGATTCACGCTCCCTGAGGGCAACACTTACTGTGGGTAATCACACGGGACACATCTTAACACATGTTCACGTTTCTCTTTGATAAGCATCATTTGAAAATGCAACGCCTTAAATGGTATATATATCGCCTGTAGGCACGTAACTAACTCCTGTCCTTGTGTTGGAATAGATCCATTTATCTGTGACCGGGTTGGATTCAGTTGATGGAAGTCAACGGCTTTGACTTGCGCTCCCCTCGTTATCGTGAGGAGTTATTGAACAGCAGTGAGTTGATCCCACAGGGTAAGAAAACCTCTCTCACACTGTTAGTCTCAACTGCTTCCAGTGAACCACTGGAATCGTCCCTGCAGGCTGCTCGCCCCGCCTGGTGCACGAGCACGAAAACTGCAGCCACGGGGGCCGAAATGACTGTTGGCCCCTTGACACACAGTTGGACATCATCTGATTCAAACTACACATGGAGAACAATGGATGCATCTGCCTGCCATTGACTCTGGTTAAACCATCACCTTTAAAAAGGAAGGTCTGCGATTGCATTCTAACTCAATTTAACTCGATCGGATTGAGGGTGAACTCTTAAAAAACGTCACAAAAGAAAGTTTCAAAAAGGTGTGTTAATTATGTAAATGGATTTTGACAAAGTACAGAAGTCGAATTACTGTACGCACAGAAAGCGCAAAACTAGAACAAAAATGACGCTATTCTCTGTTATCTTCATCTATTTGTAAATAACATTATTGCATAAAAAAAAATGTAAACACTTCTTCCACTCACCTATTTGACCCCCCACCAAAATAAAAGCCGCACGGAGCAAATGTGCAGAGCCTCGTCTGTAGCCTCGCTTCTGCAAAGTGAAGTGAGAAGTTCAGGAGCTGCGGCTGGACCCCTCTCTCTCCTCTGCTCGGCTACTGAAGCTCCAGCAGCAGATGTCCTACCAGGAAAAGCCTCTTTCCAAGTGGGAAGAATCTTTCCACCATCGGCTACTTAATAAAGGGGGGGCAGATCCCAACCCTCAGTTTACCGGGATAAGGGCATCTTACGAAACCTCCACTCGATGCGTAATGCCCCCCGCCCCCCCGCTAAGAGCGACCCACTGCTGGAAGCTACTCTCTTTTTCCTGCATTCCTTTGGTCTGGCGATTTAATGAGTTTCCAGCGCCAATGTGACGTCACTGCGGGGGTGACAGCTGGACAAACGAGGCTGGTGCGGGAAGTGTTTCCTCACAGCACATTTATTTACTCACATGTAGACGTAAATAAAAGTGGATTTTTTTTTTTTTTTTTATTAAAAGGAAACCTCTTGGGTGTTGGTTTGGTTTGTTAGGGTGGATATTTCTCACAGGGCGTTCAATGTGATTAAAGAAGCTTAAAGGTGTCAGCCCAATGTTTTTACAAGAGTATTCCATTGTTTTGGTATTTTGGGAACAACTTACCGGGCTACTCCTTGCCCCAAATGGAGCGCTTCTGACTGGCGGGTTTATGGCGCCCTCTGGTGTTCAAACCAAAGAGCTGCACTAGATTTAGGTGATTGGTGGAGGAAATCCAATGTAGGCTAATTAAAAATATATAAATTACACACACACACATACACACAGACACACACAGCTGTTCTCTGCTTTGCTTGGATGATGTGTGAATAACTAACTCCTGTAAGTTTAAAAAACGTTTATTATTATTTGCAGCTCGTTATTTTTTACAAATACATTTCAAACATGAAACATATCGTGATTCATCGGACTCCCAGGATAAAATTCTGGACAGAGTTTATAAATTACGGTCATGATGCGATGATTGTTGCATCAGATAAATTAAGAAGTCCATCCCCCCTCAGTGTGGCTTCCTGGGCATTGCTGCACTGAAGAGCTCATACACTACAAACGCAGCCCCTGTGAAGACAGCAGACCAGTGTCACAGGTGGGACGGAGACACGACAGGAGCATCGAAACGTGCTTTCAAATGTCAGGCCGACGCTTACGTACCGAACACAGTGAGAGTCATTGTGACTCTGTAGAGCAGAGCGTCCCTCGTGCCGCCTTTAAGATGGACGGGTAGACCGTTATCCTCCTGTTCAGAGAATGAAGGCGTGAAGTTATTCAAAATAAACATCTCTACTTAAAGAATGTGCTAATGCTTATTTTTGCTTGTCTCTGTTCTACGGCGGGACGTTTTTGGAGGAGCTCAGCTTTGGTTGACCACAACAACCAGGGGGCGGGGTACAGAACACTACGCAATCAAACAGCGCTCGCTCTGAGATTCAGAAGGCAAGTAGGACTCAGCAAAGCCTGCCGCACTGGAACGTTGATCTTGCAATGAATATTTAATTAGAAGCCTGCAAGCAGCATCAGTTTGGCCCCAGCGACAGCCGAAGGTTGATTTGACATTGTAGGGAGGAAAGAATCCACTAATACTCATCTGTCAGGCTACAAAAGGGAAATAAAAGATTCAGTCTCCAGAACCTGGGAATAAAGTAGACTAACATTGTCAGCATCAAAATATCTCTCATTTGTCTCAATTTTTAAAAAATGACATGTGGCTTTTAAATCTCAAGTCCAACAGAAACATTGTACATTTCAGAGAATAAAAAACTAAACGTTTCCTACATTTATTTTCCCAGGTTTCGTCCTCAATAAAAGGGTCAAACGCTACCTGAAAGAGTTTTTGTTTTTGCTTCACAGAGTTCTCCATCGGTCTGCTGGCGCTGCTGGTAACGGTGCGGCTGGAAAGCTGCCGAAGTCCCTGTTGGTACAAACACTTCATAGGAGGATTTAGCAGTTCACACAGTTGAACGAGGACATTGAAACAGGACAATGCTGTGTAATTATTTTGACACTAAATTGGCAAACGCTTGTACGACAGTCCAGCAAGCTGACTTCAACGAGTGATGAGTGAAGTTGCACATTTGTACAGCACGTTGACCACCCGAGCTGGAAGGTTGATCCTTTTAAAACCTTCGAATGGAAACAATGGCGACGCCTGCTGGTTGACCTCTTGCGTTGCAGCTGTTCGGAAGGAACACGTGCAAGAAGAGAGCTCACCTCTGCTGTCAACGCTGATTAAAGTACTTAGTGAAAATTATAATTCGTAGACGGTCACGGGACTTTCGTTTGGTTGAAACGAGCAAATGGAAGCACCTGTTTACAGGTGAACACCGGAATCGGACCTCGCGCGTGACGTCACAAGCGTCCAGCTCACTCGCTCGAGCGCTCGACCTGTTACTTAAGCGATGACGTAACGATCGGCCCGGTGTCAATAAGGGCATTGCTAATTACGTAGAATTCCTAAATGAAATACGCGTTTGTCTAATTGCGACACGCTTTTACCATCTAGCTTTAGGTTAAGAAAGCAAAGTTAGTGAAACGAGTCGAGCTCGTTTTACCGTTAGTGCCGTTACTCTTCATCTGGAATAAACCTCGCAAAAATTTACGCCGTAATAAGCGGAATGTGTTTGCGGAACATGCGAGCCGTCTTACCACGAGTTGTCTGAACATTTTGGCGCAGTTGTTGCGTTGTGTGTGCAGCTGAGAGAAGGAGCAGCACAAGGACAAAGGGACAGGACGACTTCCCACAATGCCTTGGTGGACAGGTTACATCCGGTCGAGGGACATTCTTATAATTACTATGATAATAAAATCATAGTAATCATATTAGTATCGATGACAAGCTTTTAAAAAATAACACGTAAATGTGATCCGCAATTAAATCACAACAATACATTCAACAGGTTGTTTAATTGGGCCCTACAAACCTTATAAAAAAAACTATACATTTCAAATTAAAACAGGTGAATTGGATTTAATGAAGAATGTAATTATATAACAGGATGCAGTCTAATTGAGGGGTGGTGGGGCAAACAAATGGGACACTGAAGTGCATATCATTTGGTCAACATTGAAGAACACAAGATGATCGAACACTCTGTAAAAACAAAACCACGTTTGTGCTCTTATCTGCCTGAGGCGATGGCGTTTCATCAACAAGCATCAGATTATGACTTCAAAAGTAAACCTAAGGACCGGTTCAGCATCTGTATACAGCCAGTCGCTGCAGAGGGTAAATAGCCACAACCGTGGTGCTACTTGTATCCTATGAGTTACATACTTCATGCTCGGTATCAGCGATAGCCGTGCTCGCCGTGGCCAGCGTCACACGAGCAATGGTTTTACCATCCTATATTCAAGGTAATCGCAAAGCCAGAGGTATGTCAATAAAATATAATGGTACATTCGTCAGCAGGACATATTACAGTACATGTTATGGACAAAAGCTGCATTAGAAATGCATACATCCTTCAGTAAAAGGATCCATTTCGCAAAGCACTGCTAAAATAAATCAAGGTACTTTGATATGATTTAGATAAAAAGATAAATACATTTTTTTGAACACAGGAAAATTACATTCCCAGCAGCTGATTCAAAGCTATATGTACAGAGACACAGACGCAAGCATCATTCTTTGCATTAGTTGCCCAAAATCACAGCTTTTGATGAGACTCTTCGGACAACAATAAACAGAAACCAGTGTATTCACACTAAAGTCAACAAGCAGCGCAGAACAGACCGCCTTCAGGGTCAACCATGCATGCAGACAGGAAAACGCGCTACACGGACAGATTAGCCCGGGATATCTGCACTGTTGTTGCGGGTGTCGTATTTATGGTGGATGATGAGCAGGACCACACCCAGGAAGAAGCAGATGGAGCCCACGGTGATGTAGGCGATGCCAAGGAAAGGGTTCTTGCCTCCCATCCAGGAGATGGTGCTCAGGATCATCCGCTTGCGACCATCAAAGCTGCGCACGGGGTAATCTGGTGATCACACGGTTAAAGGAAAAAACAACAACAAAGAAAACGATGGGAAGTTTTGGCTTTTAAATCCCGGCTTGCACAGAACCATTCATTTTGTGAAACGCTAATAAACATATCCCTGTGTGATTCCACCAAAGTAAATAAAATATCCATTCATGGAAGCGCAACAATTGCTAGTTTACCTCAGTAGCTTTACACTAGTTTTAGTATAACTAGGTAGTATTCCAGCTTCTGTAAGTATGAGATACCTGGAAAACTAGTTGAGTAAAACCCAGATCCCCCTCTACCCTAAAACATGTACTGATATCAAATGAGCCACTTATACTTAGTTCAGATTACTGGGTTGCTTCATAAAAAGGTCGGACACAAAACTGGCTTCAGCCCAGTGTCGACTGCAACCCGAGCTGAAGTGTATTTGTTTCAAATATTTACTTGTTCTTTAGGTGTTTGCCAGATTAAGAATTTGTGGATTTTACTTAACAACTATGTGATTTAAGATAACCAACGATACGGGTAAATATGCACAACCCTCTTACCCCGTCAAGCATTATGTAGGGCAATAAAAGTGATATCAGCCACCCCCACAGGGTAGTTGTAGTCTTGATTGTACAGTGGGACGTCCGGCCCAAATTCAAAAGGATACTGTAAGTGATGTTCAAGACGTAGTTGCCGCTGGCTAGGGTGGGGGTGCTGCTGGACTTCTTCTGGATGATACGATAGAGCTTGCGAAAGGTGGGCAACGCAGCTGTGCGCATCCAAACGATGAAGTCCTCGTTGATGAAGCCGTTGTTCTCGGGATCTGTGTCCATCTCAAACACCGGCTTCCTCCAGTTCACCGGCTTAGATGTGCCTGAGAAAGAACAAGACCCCCCAAAAAAAATACAAGTTAGTCTGAAGAACCCCCCCATGTGTTTACGGGTCCAAAAACAGTTTGATTTAAATACCTTGGAAAGCTATAGTAAGGTTGTCGTTTCCACCAGGGTTCCTGAACTTAACGTGCTTGTCCGTCCACCACGCGATCCCCTTCTTGACCAAAGGAACTGCATTGCTGGTGCCGTTGGAATCAATGTAATACAGCTCCAGAGTATCTGAAACAAACATATTAAATAAGGTTTCCATCGAGTAAGAGCAGCTAATAAGTAGTAAACCGTTCCGATGGAGCCTCTACATCTGGAGAAAAATGGTGAAGTTGTGTATCGTCTCATACTCACCGTTAAAAAGGCTGTTCGCTATGGCGCCGCAGGGAGCGATGGGCTGTGCTCCACTAGTGCGGTACGGTTCGCATTCCTTGCTGGGGTTCTGTAAAAAGCCAGCTGTATTAAAAGGATGTGAAAAGGATGCGAAGGGCACTTACTGACATTGAAATGGTACAACACTACATCGTACCATTAAAGCAGAGCTGTCGCCATTCAGCTGGCTATCGTCCCTGGACTTCACATAACGTCTGTGGTTCTGGTAGAAGTTGGATAAGCCGTAGTACATGAAGACGTTGCTCTGCAGGAGGAGAGAGATCGGGTTATTGATAAAGAGTATCAGTAAAAGATTGAACGTACTTGACCCAGGTGGTGATCATCGGCCCGGCACACACAGAACCAAGCTGCTACTTCTTCTTCTTCTTCTTCTTATTTCACATATAGAATAATAAATGATGAGATAAATCATCGAAGCGCATTTACTAAATTTCTTTTTAGGTTTTTCAAACATGCTAAATCATGACTGAAATCTAAGCTATCCTTACCGCGGCTGGTTTGTCTTAACTGGAAACTGAAAAGACAAGAGCTTTTAGAAGTAATCAATACAAAGCGGCTGCAAGCCTGCCTGCCCAATTTCAGACCACGTGATCGATGATAATAACGTCTGTAAAACGACCAGGGCTGCGATTTAAAATAGATCCTAATGGACACTCAGTGTCAGGAGAGGAGCTTCCATCTTCTTATTTCACCATCAGCTTTGAAGCCGAGGGCATGTATTATGCATGGCGGTCCGCCTGCTGCGGGCCGGTGTTCACCTCAAATGGCTGCGTCAAGGTGAAGGGCACGGAGCACACACACGGTGTCGTGCTGTTCCAGGTGAAGTTCTGGGAACAGTTGTAGCATTCATCGCCAGGGTCTGCACCCGTGTAATCAATCTGAAAAGAAAGAACACAAAGTTACATATTAAAGTGACCCAAAATCAACACATACCGTTTTGGACTGTTTAACATCCAGATCCACAGAGAAGCCCCTTTATTCCATTGGATAAACACAACATTCCATTTGTAAGATTTGTATAAAGAGGTTGCCGATTAGGATGTTTTTTGGAGGAATATCTAGAAAGGTTTCTTACATTGTGATGTAAAGGTGTGGCCAAAATACTAGAGAGCCACAAGTTCCCCAAACACTTTTTCACAATAGTTTCCCCGCAGATGAACATTTCAGAATTCCATTGATTTCAATGCTGTTGCATTAGCTTGACCTGATGTCACCGCGAGCATTTTACCGTTGAAAAAGACGTTTAAAACTGGTTCAAAAGTTTTCTTGACATCTAAATGTAGACGTTGAAAAGGCTTTGCTACGTCTAAAATAATTAACATAGATCGGCACAGAGTAACGGAAGGAAGCCTGAAAAACGTCTACCACTTTCTTTCATACCGCACACGTCATTTTTTTCATTTCCTGTTCGCTAGTGCACCTTATTTTTCAATATGTTTTAACTTTAACTTTATTCTTTAATGTTAAACTAACCCATAGCCGTCCATTGTCGTACCGTCTACTGTTACGCACCAACCTCCCAGTCAAATTCCTTGTACGTCTGACATATTATGGCAATAAAGGTTTCCTGATTCCAGATTCCTGAAACAGACGTTTTCAACGTCTGTTGAAACGTCTGTTGAAACGTCTGTTTCAGACGTTTTCAACGTCTGTTTCAGACGGACGTCTTTTAAACGGAAAAATGCTCGCTGGGTGACTTTAAAGCTAACGTAGCTCCTAGCTAACCAACTGAGACTGTTCTGTAACGAGCACCGGTAACCGTTAGAAGTGAGCCGCTGTACCTCGTACTCTTTGATGTTGTTGGAAGTGACGTACAGGCCGATGCCGATGGGGATGAAGATGAGCCCGATGACGAAGAAAGCCGGCAGCACGGTGCCCGCCGTCAGGATGGGCTGCCAGGCCGGTAGTCTCTGCTGTTTGAAGGCGGTGTTGTCCGGCTTCTTACTCTTCACCACCCCGGGGCCGCCGTTATTCGACGCGCCCGGGTGGTGTCCGTCCTCCTCTTTCGCGTTGTAGCTCGACGCCATCATGGCTGCAATCCGCTTCGGGGCGAAACAATCGACTGGGAATTAGAAGTTATTGGTAGTTCCTCGATCGCAATGCCACGCGGTAAACACGAGGCCACACGTTAAGGCAAAGGGTAAACCTGTTTTAAGAGGGGAATTTACCGCCAGTCTAATCCAGATATTGTACTCATTGCAACGTATATGTTGCACGTCCCGTTAATCTCATCCTAGAAGAAGAAGCCGGAAGCGTTCAAGCCAATAGGATGATGAGACGTGGCTGTTACGTCACTGCAGACAACAAGGACGCCCCTTTCAAAACAGTAGTGTGTTGTGCAAAAATATCCAGGAGGGCCGAGTGCGAAAAGTGACCGGAACCTGCCGTCCTGACAAAGGAAGCTACCAACGACCACTTTTCGCACTCGGCGTCACTCAAAATATTAGATGCAAATGTGAAAGTCTGTGTTTTAAAATTGAATTGCAACTTTGGAAATCTATAATCTATTAGCAAGATAACATCCCGACTTGTTATGCCAAAGAATTTATAGCATTAAAAATGAATTTGATAAACATGAAATTGAAACGAGAGATTGGAAACTGAATAATAATTTATATAGTTGTGCTTTCATATTTTCAAAGAATACAGGATAAGACCAACGTTGTAAATTTTTTGGAAAATAAATATTTCAACATTTGAGTCCTAAAACGGTTCTATTGAAATCTTGGATTATTGTGGTCTCTTATGCAAGCATAATACTTTCACTTTACCTCAAACTATATGTAAATTTGCAAAAAAAATAATAAATACACGTAATATATTAAACAGTCACATGCAATTTATCTGGCACACTTCACTCTCTGTCTTTGCTGCATATTTGCGTTATTTGCACTCACAAAAAACATCTCTCTTTTCAAAACATTTATTCAGTACACTTTTCAGTACAAATCTTTTTCAGAAAAAAATAAACATAATTTACACAATTATTTTGACCAATGTGTGCTTCACAAATATTATCAACAAATGTGTGAGACAACCATACAAAGCAAGAAGCATTTAGTAGCTGCATGGTCTAATACAATATTTACCTAAATGTCACAATACACATTGTAAATTGACTGGTTTCCATTTAAATTAGAGAAATTTATATGTACAGGTACAAAAGACGTATTTAATTACAAACAAAAATGCCTCGGGGGCCTTGAAATGTCCAGTTGAGTTATATAGCGAAATCAAAGCTTTCTATCTGTGGGCATAGTTGTAATCTTTTAGAAGCAACGTGTTTGTGTATTTTGTTGGTATTTTTTTCCATCAGGCTTTTCCTCCATTTTGAAAAATACTGCTGTTTACAGAGGTTTTCTTAACTTCTATCCTCATGGACTGACTCTCAGCTCGTGACTCTAGCTTCACTCCACCGGAGATCCCCAGGGATCCCAGCGCAGCCTTCCCTGTCTTCAGGCTCTTGGACATTGGGATGCGGGTGAGCCCTGTGCGAGGTGCCTGGGCATCATGCCCAGTCTGTTGATAAAAGGAGAGATTACAGTTTATCCGGCGGGAGAATACAGACAAAAAAAACTCTGAACTTCTAAACAGTGTAACTAATCATACAAACATATTAGCTGTGTGAATGAAAAATGCAAATATTTATACATTCCTTCACTTTATACGAGCATATTAGCTTTGTGAATGAAAAATGCAAATATTTATACATTCCTTCACTCCAATCCCAGTGGGCGAGCGCTTGTCCGGGCTGTTTCAATGTGTTGTTTATGGTGCAGGGCTGCTTTGTGTCAGCCAGAGGGCACTAAGCCTCTCCGGGCTGTTTGTGAATGTAAATGCTGTGTAACAACTCAATTACAGCGTGACTCTAGCAGAGTGGCAGAATGCCACCTCATTAGCTGTGCTGTGCTGAGGCCTGCCCATAGGACCATTTCTGTGAGGCTATTCACAAAGAGGACATTATGAAGTCCAATGGAGCACTAACCGTGTTGCTTCTTCCAACACAGAGATAAAGAAACCTCTCTGAACCACCTCCTTTAAAATACGTAGAAAATTAAAACCAGAAGAAGCATTTCTTTTACATTTTACATGAGCATTACAGACTCTATCCTAGTAAATAAAGGAACATTGTCACTTTAACACGTTGTGTTCTGTAAGAATGCAAGAATGAAATGATATATCTTGTTCAGGTGTGCTTCAGAACCACAGCAATGCAACTCAATTAAATATGTATTACTTCATGATACTTTTTCTTTGGTAGCAAGTACTTCCAAGAGTAAATTGCTCTCGGGCAATGAATGGTCAAAATGATTAATGTTATCAAGCAAAATGTTATTCAATACTTCATATGAACAGAACCTCTAAGCCGAACCTACCATGCTTTGTGTTGGTCTGGAAGTGTTGGATGCAACGGGGGAAATTGTGATGGTGCTCATCACTTTGTTCTGTGTGCTCCTGGCAGTGGTGGTGGTGGTGGTGGTGATTTGCCGGGGGGAGCGTAAAACTGTCCCAGTTGATAAGGTCATTTCCCTGCTCTCTGTCGCAGCAGCCGCCGGCCTGACCACCACCTTTGGGGTCATGCTGTTGGCCAGATGAATGTGGATCTTGTTATCGTCTGTGGTCGTGATGTAGCTCGTGTTGGGGTGGCCCTTCCGTGAGGGCATCGGGACCATCTGCTTCTCGGGGGTAACCTTGAACACAGCTCGGCCCATGGTCATCTCCTGGGGTTCTGGGGAGGAAGATGCTTCCGGCACCATAGCACTTCTCACTGTCATAATAGAGACGGGGGACAAGGCTCTTCCTGAGGCAGACGAGGGGACGTGGCTGTTTACGGGAGACTTGGCTCTGGATATTGTTGTGATGGTGACCGGAGACTTGGCTCTTTCGAGGCCCTGAGGTCCGTTGGTGGACTTTCTCTTGTGGTTTGGAGCAGAGTAGGTGGGAATGATTGTGATCCTTGATTTTGGTTGAGACGGGTTGGGGCTTAGCGGAGCTGAGCTAGAGAAAGAGTCCTCGGCAGTGGGGCTGCTAATCTCAAGAGTAGCCGTGTTGTTTTGGTGGTCTGGTGTTACGTGAATGTGTAAAGGCTGCCCTTGCTTTGGGGACATTGTCAATTCAGAAGTCATATGTACACCATTCATTTGCAGGTGCTTTCCCAAGTTGGTCTCCTGATGGGCGTTGTCCTTTTTCCTCATCCAGGGAATCCAGGACTTCTTCACGCCCAGGTCGCTGCCAGACGAAGGGCAACGCTCAACACCACTCTTTTCTGTTGGCTTCTTTAGGTACTTCTGTCTGAGGTTGTTCATGATGTGATTCTCTTCTTGAACAGATTTCCTGATAAACACAGCTGGGGTATCCTCTTCTGCTGGCTCAGTCGACAAGGCCTCCGTCTGTACTCCAGTGGAAGTTACCGCAACGTCTACTATTCTCCTCCCGTTCAAACTAGGCCTTAGCGCTCGACTGTGACGCTTTGCCATCTCCAATTCTTTGGTGAGATGGAAAACTTCGGTGCCCATGTTCTTGGCTCTCTCCTCCTCTTCCAAGAATCTCTGCTGCAGGACGGAGTAATCCACCTGGAGCTGTGAAAGTTGGTCTTCCTCGTGCATCAGTTCATGGATCTTCTCCTTGAGGGCTAAGACGTCTGCCTGCAGTTCCCTGGTTTTGGCCTCCTCTTTTCTGCATCGTTGTCGGAGGTCTGCTTCCTGGCTTTCCTCCTCTCCTTTTTCGATTGCTTTGTTTCGCGCTATCTGACCCCTCATTTCTTCCACCTGTTGGGAAAGAATGTTGGCTTTGTCTTGTTCAGTCAAGAACCTTTTCTCCAGAATGTCGTACTGATCTTCTGTCTTGATCAAATCTCCCTCGACTACTTCAAGTTGTTTAAGACGATTTTTCAGACGTTCGATTTCAAATGTCAGCTCCTTGACTTTTTTGTCTTCTCTTTTGGCAGTGTCAGACATTCGTCCCAGTTCACATTTCATTGAATTCACTGATAGCTTTTCTGCTTGCTCAAAGCCATCTAACCTTTTTTTCATTTGACTAACTTCAGAACTGAGATCCTTAGTTTTATCAATTTCACGGGTCAGTTTAGTACCAAGCTCTACCTTTTCGATGGTTAGAATCTCTACTTTGGTTTCCATCTCTGATTTCATCTTCAAGAGCTTTTTGCTTTCCTCTATCAATTTTTCGGTCACCTCCATAACTTTGCCCTGCTCATCTTTGAACATCTGACTCAAATCCTCCTTTTTCTTCTCATCTGACTTCATTCTTTCCATTTGGGTCTTTCGTTCTTCCATCAAAGCAACAGTTAATGATTTCAGCTTACTCAAGTCATCCTTAAGGCTCAGCTCGGACCTTTCTAACTTAAGTTCAGATGACTCAACTTCTTTCACGCGGATTCTGAGAGATACGACCTCATCTGAGAGCTCTTTGGTGTGTCCCTTCTCCGTCTCTAGAGCAGTGTGTAACTGTGCACATTCAGCCTTGTTTATGCTGAAGGTACCCTCAAGTTTCTCCAACTCCATCATTCTTTTTTGGAGCTTCTCCACTTCCAGCCTGAGGTCTTTGCTCTTAGTATCCTCTTCTTGTAGCCTTTTCCGTAGCTCTTTACACTGATATTCAGTCCTGGTAATCTCCTCATCTTTTCCCTCCATCTCCAGCACATGTTTCCGCAAGTTCTCCAACTCAGTGATCAGGTTGGAGTTCCCGGACTCTCCTTTGCCAATCTTCTCCCTCAGCTCCTGCAACTCTTCCTCGGATTTCCTCAGGGCCCTGTTGCTCTCCTCGAGTTCTTCAACTTTATGCGTAAGCCCAAGAACATTGGCATTAAGTTGACGGCTGTGGATCTCCTGAGTGGCCAGCTCGGCGCTCATCTCCTCATGTTGTTGGGTGAGTTTGGTGGACTTCTCTTTAAGCTCAGCCTCCAGGCTGAGCACCCTGTGGGCGTCCTCCTGACTTCGCTCCCGGGCTTCACTCAGGGCCTGCTCCCGCTGCTGGAGCTGCTGGCTGAGTTCCTGGGCCCGCTGGTTCTGTTGATCCATTTGTTCCAGGTGCTGCTGACGCTCGTTGACCAACATCAGCGTGAAGGACTTCAGCTTGACCAGCTCTTCCCGCACCTTGGCCAGACGTTTGGAGTGTTCCTTCTCCTTTTTAACCTGATAGGCTTTCTCGTTCTCAATCAAGCGCTTCAGTCTGAAATGTGAAACAATCAAAAGCAAAGCATTAATTTGGCTTTTTATTGATTTAAAAGCTAGAAACTTGTCTGTGTTTGCCATTGTGTTACAGAAATGTGAATAAGTTTTATTCCAGGATGCCCTACGCAGTTAATGTTTCAATGATCGAGAGAGACTCAAAGCCATTTCTATCTTTCTTAGAAAAATAAAATAAAATATAATATAATCAGAGTATATTTTGCATAAAATATATATTTATATATTTTATTTAAAATATAAATATATATACATAACATACTATACCAAACGAGCAATACAATCAAAAGAGAAAAATGACAAATATTAACACTAAACATCCAACGTACCTCCATCCATGGAGACTAAGAACACAATCTGCTGGTTAAAGTTTCACCCTCTCACCAAGGTGTCTTCTTTTTGCTCAGCTTCTATCTACGCTGCATCTCTGGCTCAAACAAAATGAATGCAAAGCAGATTGGATGCAAAGCTGTATCTTTTCCTCTTACACTCCCAGGGACATATGACATTCAGCCTGCCCGTTTTTGCATTGCAAAATGGAGCAAATTAATCAAGGCAGCAGGACAACAAGGAAAAGAGTGCAACTACATCTTAAATAACCCCTAGTTTTTTTGATATTCATGGCTGGACAGAGTCAAAAGTCAGAAACTTTACAACAACCACATTTGAAACTTACCCTAAACGGATACTCTACAGTCAGCACATAAACATTGTTTTCCGATACACAGGATCCTTTGAGAACGCATAAGAAATAGCCGGGGTCCTTCTTTTATACAAATCCTACACCGTCACATTCCATGCACGTTATCAGGACGATGAAAGGTGAATAGATACAGTTGAGCACCAGCGGACCTCTCGTGAGTAACGTCACCTTATCCATATAAGGGAGAATGTATGAGAGCGTGTGGACACTGTGAAGAAGGGGTTGGACCCTTTCCACAGGAGGAGCGTTGTGTAAAACCCAACCCCAATTGTCATGCTTTCATAAAACATGGAATGTTTTGGGGGAAAACAACTACGGACAGTTTGTAATAACATTCTGGGTAACAAAGAATGAGTAGATAGAATTGTTTATCTCAGACAAAATCGAGTTCAGTGTGGAAATGATATTATATTTCAATATTGCAAATGATATGGCCTCTGCAGACCGAAAGCAATACTCTCACTAGCACAGGAGACAGCCGAGAAAGTCTGCTGCAGGTCCACTCGAGCGGAAACTGAACTCGAACTGGGTTGGTTGCTGAGTCTGAATGTGATGAGGAAAGCAGATATGGCAGAGTTGGATGTCTCCCTTGACGTGAAGAAGATTTGGTACAAGGATATGTCAGCAAAGATATATGTTTATAAAGTGCTACACCCTGTCCAGTCGCATGGAACTGTATAGATACACTCAATCTTTTAATAATCTGTGGTTTTCCGCAAATTAATTCAGTTTGAAACGCTAAATGCCGATTGTCCGTGTATAAGTTACATTAAATAGCTACATTGATTTATATCACCAGCAGTCGTCTTTGCCAAGTGAGATCACTTTGCTTTGGCTTCTGTATCTCAGATTGTGACAGTCAGATGTCACTGATAGCCTACAAACTGGCCCTTTGGTGCGAGAAGTTATGATGTAATTGGTATCTGGCCTCAGTGGTCAGGGAAACTGTCTCTGAGGAAGAAATAACTATGGACCAATTGGCTGTGTAGAGTCGTCCTCCTAAGGGACTGTAGGTTTAGAAAAGTTTGAACGAGGATAAAACTGAAGTGTACGTGCAAGAAAAACACTTCATAAGCAAATACACAGACCCAAAAAGACTACACCCACAGGAGACCATTTATTTCATCATGGAATAACATGTCATCCCATTTTTCCTGGGAAATTTGCTCACAGGCACTGCAGATCCCGTGTGCCTGAAGGCCGGGGATTCAGGCAGATGAAAACTGCCAAAAAGCTGTCAAAGCACAGTGTTGTACGTTAATGACTTCTCTTGACAGAGGACGACCATTTTGTGTTGTGCTTCTGTGATAGTGAACAGTAAACAGTAAACACGACCAATGTGGTGTTAAAAGAGATGAATCAGAGACAAAGCGGACATAAAACTATGCAGGAGAAACACAGGAGGTCCATACATACTGTGTGTACACGAGCTGCTGACAGACGGTGGAACACGGCTCTCAGTGTTGGGTGTGGCCTTTTTATTTTCCACGTGTGACTTTACACGTAAGCGATTTCTGTTAATCAATGCACCTTCTAGTTAAAGTCAAGCCACTTGAATAATTTAATTTCTCAACAAGGAAATTCCTCTCTCTTGTCTCAGCAAATGGCTGACGGCTACCAGTCAGAAACAGCTCCTCCGGTGCCCATCCTGTGCATTCCTGCAGCTGTTTGGCACAAGACCGTTTCTCTCTTTTCTCTCTTCACTATCACCCTGCTGGCGGGAGGAGATCGCATTGATGAAGACGAGATGACGACATGCTTCCGTCTCAACGAAAAGAGTCCAAACCGACACCAGACACGACGACGACGGGTATAATGTTCCTGCCAAACTAATGTTTATGATCTTTTTCAGTTTGCAATGTTAGTTTTGTCCGTGTTTGGCTTACTAGTGTAAGCGCCCCCATTGAATCACTCGCTGGGTTTTGTGTCCTTCTATGCCGACAGATAGAAGAATCTGTGCTCGGCAAGGTGCCGACACATCAAGACCTAGCAGAGCTCATCTCCGCCACCGAGCTGTACATGAGCCAGGGAACCTGCTGGAAACTACCCGGCATAAGAAGGAGTCCATCACATGTAAAACCAAGGATCAAGTGAAAGTTAAATGGTTGTTCACTTGTCATTTGCTCCAAACTGAAGGCTTGGCTGTAAGGATTTCAATGATAGTGATTTTTTTCAGAGACTGGTTTGCCGAACCATTTTCTAAATTAATTAATAGTTCCCAGAAGCATTTTATCTCTTGTTATGTTTTTGGGTCAACCTCTGTGAGTCAACAGACCAAAAAAAGTAAAGCACAATATGCATATAAACTCAACCAATTTGGTTCCATCTGGATAACTTAATTTAGGCCTGTGTGCACAATGATTTACAACCATGAACGAATTCTTCATTGAAACGTCTTGAATCATGACCACTGTCTCTCCCTGTCGCAGTTACCAGTCGTAGGAGTATACTGCTGTGATGCTGCTGCTCTCTCCTCTGGCGTGTAGCGGCAGCTCAGCTGTCAGGACCGTGATTTAACCTCCACAGCCTGTTTCCTGTGTCCTCTACTAAAGCCCAGGAAAGAGCAGTCGTCGGTGCCTCGGCTGTTTCAAGTTTTGACAGTTCTTGAAATGCAGCATGGAAGGGGTGTCTGATCTGCTCTACAGATGACTGACTGTATACATATACAGTACATAACACGTGCTCTTCCTCCTGCTCTGCTCGCCTCCCTCAGACTTATTAACATGGACGTCATATAGTCATATAGACCAATTCACGATGAGGCGTTGAAACTCCTTCATGGGTCCATGTTTTAATGAGTCGCGCCTCCTCTGTCATATGCATTCAGTGCTCATCCAAACGCTCACAAGCTGGTTTGATCTATGTGGGGACCCTCCACACACACACGATGCAACCACCCCCTCTCCCATGTGGGAGGGTGTGTATGTCCCTCTTTCTCCCTACACCAACAACAGCTCATCCCTTGTCTCCTCTGGACCGACAAGCCAGGCCGCAACCTCGTTGATGACTTCATTTCCGCAGATGATGTCACGAGAGAAGCCCTGCGGTCCTTCCCTTGTTTTTCTCCGGGGGCTTCGTCTTCTCCCCTCCGTCCCCCTAACCTCCCTCCTTCCCTGAGGGAGCCTGGACCACTTCCCCACTCCGCCCCCCTTCTCTCCCCCATGCTCCGTATACCTCTCAAGTGTAAGTATGTGAGGTTATCATTTTAGCATCCAGCCCCCCCCCCCCCCCCATGTCCCCTCTCCTGTTCCCACCTATTCACCCGGCTGGTGAGGCCATCTTTCACACATTAGCAGTTGTCCATGCATTCCTCCACCGCTCTTCCCCCCCCCGATTATCTTACCTCTCACACGTTATGTTCCAGACTGGTTTCAGAAACCCTCGTTGGCTGACTGATTCATGTTGGCACTCACACGCCTCCCCCACTGCTGTTTCCCCTTCCCCATGCATCTCTAATAGCTCCCTCGATCCTCTCCTCACCTCTCTCTCTCCTGCTCCAGAAGGTTAGTGAAGTCGTCGCTCTTGTCCATGTAGTCGGCGTGCTTGCGTTTCTCCGAGTCCAGCTGGTTGACGGTGCGGCGGTGGGACTTTTCGGCCAGCAGCAGCTGACCCAGCATCCTGCGGTACGTCTCCTTGTGCTTCTCCTGCAGACGCTCCAGCTGCAGGCACACAATCACAGGGAACAACCCACATTTAAGAAACCAAGGACGCATAACAAGTGAACCTCATGTGCTGTTGTGCAACATTTTTTAATTTCAGCAGCAACGATCAGTTCAGGAATGTCACGAGTGCATTGTGCAAAAATGTACGATACGGATTTTCAGCATAAAACTGCTGTGACCGACAGTTGCGAAGCTGACCTCAGCCGTCGGCTTTTGGTAAACACCGTGTTCGCGCGGCTTGCTGCCAGTGATGAATCCGTCCCTCTGCAAGGCTGCGAGGGCCGAACCGGGGGCCGAACCACAACGTGATTCAAGGTCCTCCGGGGCAGCCTGTTGGGACTTTAGCATGCAGATTACGTCTTCTCTGGCCTGAAATCACACAAAGGATTTAGAGAAATACAAAGCATACAACATTTGATGCCTTGAGGAGAAAATGTGTCTATTCAACTCCTTTGGACTGCCGTCTGAAGAGTAACACATGTATTTTGACATAAATAAATGTGGCCGTTTGCTCTAATTCAACACATCCTAAAGTCTTTGAACCCCGGTAGCATTTGTTTCATGGATTCCAGATTTCTCCCGTAGGCACAAATTTGCTGTTTTCTGGCACATTTCAACTTTTACCACAAGATAGAGCCATTGAGCATGAAATTGCTGTCAAACTCCAAATAACGTATGTGTACCGACTTTGTGTTCATTCAGAAAGCCTCCTCAGGTCCGTCATTATTGCACATACCCCTCTTATTACAGCAGGTTATTGGTCAAATAGAACACCCAACCCACCTGAATCTCTCCTTCCATGATCCCCAGTAGTTTTAGCAGATCCTTGTTGGACAGATCCATGATGTTCGCTCTCTCTTCTTCAGACTCGGGGGAATCAAACAGTAGCTGCTGTTTGTTGGAGATCACCTCCTCCTTTGATTTCTCTTCACCCTCCTTCTGCTGGACTTTGGCCTTCAGGCTCTTAACGGGCAGACACTCTTCCTGTTCCTTGCTGATGTCATGATCAGCCTGTGGAACCCCGAGCACCCCGTTAGCCGGGGTTTCTACTCCGCTGCTTTTGGACCTCATCTTCTACCTGCACCAGCAACAGAAGAAACACGATTTTACATTTTTTTTTATAGATTATAGTACCGCTCTTAGTTATTTTATGGCAACATTTGTTTCTTTCCACATCATGCCATCGACCTCTTTCTTGCCATTTTTGTTTCATTTGATACAGAAGGTGTTAGTAAATGGTCACAACTGCATTTTATGACTTTGGTCCTGACCACTAACTCACTTTGACCCAATGGCACGTACACTGGATGACATTTTTATATGTAACATGAAATACATGTGGATAAATACCCACAATCACCCAGCAGTGTGTGCATTCCTGACACGCACAAGGTTTGTCTCATGCCGAGTGTTGATAATGTAAAAGCACATTTGTGGCACTCCTGGGTGTCTTAACCTGCTCTGCTGAACATTTTGTTCAGATCCTGAGTATAAATCTGTCGTTGACAGACTCTAAATCTAATTGCACTACGTTTAACATTTATAACAAGTGACGCTGAGGTGGCCTGCGGCATGCTTGATTACTTAAACATACAACGGGAGAATACAATCGAGGACTTCGGACATACATTGTTTTACCAGAGGGTCAGATGTTCTCCCACCCCAACCCTGAGACACCGAGCAAGTGTGCGATTGATTTCAGATATGACATCAACAGCGCTTTTTAATTACAAACAGAAAACACCACCCAAGCCCCCAAATCCCCGCCGAAAACCCCGGGTGATGTCATAAGACCCCGACCTCTGAATCATGCATTGAGACATCCTGCAAGCTCACCAACATGTCACCCTCCCTTCGACAGTTTTGGCTATATATACACAATATATATAATTATTTATATATAGGGATGTATTTATATCTGTAGAAAACACCAATGACCATTTGAATCAGTACCACTAGATTAGTAATAGCGATTTTGGAAGGGAGTTTATCTAAGGTTTTGCTTCACATCAAGTGTCTTGTAGTCATCAAAGCAAAGACTGCAGTCAAATCTAATGATGCTTGAAAGCAATCTGTTCTGTTTCCAGGGAAGAGAGCAGAACACATGAGAGGGAAGCGTGCGAGATAACGGCGGATGCATCTCTCTCTTCAAACCCACACATTACGGACTCTTATCTCAGCTCTGGAAGGTCAGCGAGTGCACATTGGCTCCGATGAGAGCTGGTTCTTTGCTGGAGATTAATTGCGGTGCCTTCTTTCCTGTCCATATCTATTAGTTTCAGCTGTGGGCTCACTATCACTGAGTCAAATGTGTTGGTACAGCCCCGTACACAAGTGCTTACAGTGCTCATCCATTCAAGCAGTGCCACATGTGCAGTACTGTAAATTCCTCGGGCAGATTACCGGGGCGACCAAAAGGTTGACACTTAGTTAAGCAAAGCAAGGTCTATTTTTAATTTCTGGGCCATCTAAATGTACTAAGCTGAACATTATCAGCCCATTAAAGAGGGGACATCTTAATAATAAACACACTCATCTTAGGCTTTCTGTGGTGATTGGACTTCTGTTTACTTAAACCAGCCTTAATTGAGTTTAACTTTTAACTCTACTGTTTTATCCACCCTGACTACTTGATTGTAGTGTATTCTCCAGCAACAAATGGGGATTCCAAAGGGCCTGAGCCCTGAATTCCAGTCTGACATGCAGCATTAGCAGTTGTCTCTATGGAAAACAAAGGAGAGCGGGCAGACAATAAGCCGTCTCTGCGCCGAACTCTGAGGTCTGCGCCATCCTGCCACAATCCCCAAACACATTCATGGCTAATCAAAACCATCGACACATTGATGGTTGTGCCTGGGTATCCCATTCCATAGGGCCTCCTATACAAAAAGGCTGGTCTAATACCCAGCGAGTCACCCGTCAAGGCCTGAGCCGATAACTAAAAGCGGTGTTCCAAATCCATCCTATGGTTGGAGTCCAGCTGTCATACATATGAGTATTTATAGGCCCAAACGAAACATATGGCCCCATTCCAAAGAAAAAGGGGCTGTGAAATGTTGTCAGTGGTCAGCAAGTTGGTGAATGCCACTGATGTTCACTAAATGACTTATCTGTGGTCTGAAATTCCAGTTTGAACACAAGGAAGAATAAAGTGCCCCAACAACAGCTGCCACTTTGGGAAGTAGGCCGTAATCTATACAAGATTAACGTCACATTATTTGTTATATTTAGCCAAAGTATTTGATTATTTCAGTTGGTTTCAGCCGCTGTAATATGGACATTTTACTGTTTTATTATTTTTATTATCAACATTTTGACCTCTCAAGTGCTTCATTCGTCAATCAAAGGTTTAACTGATATAATTGTGAAAAGTGGCTTTTTTTTACCCTGAAATGGTACAAAAGACAGGTTCATTTGTGCATACAGGTTGATTTTTTCACCTGTGTGTATTCATGTGGACACACTTCAACAGAAAATAAGCAACATTAGCATTAGCTACATTAGCAGAAATACAAACTGCTATCATGACACGGCCCTATTCCAAGCCTTACAGCTATTTATCTTTCTGCAAGCTTTAACTCCTAAAAGATTAGGCTATAAAAATGCCAATTTAACATTAGGCTCATTAGTAATATTCACAAATAGGAAAAGTGAAGAAGACAAGAGATCTGGTAAATAAAGTCTGCATTGTATTTGCCAGAGAGGAGTAATGAGGAAAGCAGCTGAAATAATGCAAAAACAGTTTCATAAATTCACACCACTAACCCAATGTGACTAAATAAGGATTGGCAAGTGTTCTTTGCATGTCAGAGCATTTGGCAACTTGTTCTTGATCGAATGCAAGTGCGCTTTGGAGGCTCTCCCGTCCTGACAAGGAAAACACGAAAGCCCGCCAAGCTATAAGAATTTCAATCAAAACCGTAGCTGAGGATGAGAGTCGAATCCACGAGTCAATCCGACTGATATTGAAAGTTTTGTGGGCACTAACTTCTTTGCATGGGGAACAAAGCGCCCGTCTCTTCTGGGATTGGGCAGCTTGTTCCAGTCTAAATATCCAGTGACCCCTGGTTGACCAAACTTGCTCAGCTAGCGACGCCGCTTCAGACACGTACAAATGCCCCAAAAATTTTTTATCCATCCTGTCACTCTCACTCAAGCCTGCAGGAGCTTCAGCAGTTAAAGTGTCACTAGTGAGCGAACAGAGAGGAACGTAGGTACTTCTCCCACATTAATGGCTTACTTGCTGAGCTCAGTCTCAGTTCTTGAATCAGTCTCTTATAAGAAATGGCATAATATCGATGTGCTTGTGGCAGTTTGTTAATTATTCACTTTGATTTACCGAAAGTATGAACACTGATAGTGTCGCCAAGCATATGGACGCATGCAGCTGCTGCAAGACTCGACTCACCTCAATCTATCACAATTAATTTAATATACATGGTGAAAAAAAGGGAAACATCCCTTATCTATGAGTCAATGTCACCTGGCAACAGCAGTTATTCTGTCTGTCTGTAAACGGAAACCAACTAACTCGTCGAGCGCAAGACCCGACCAATGACACGCGTGGTGTTCAGCTTCACAGCATGGAGATCAGGGAAGAGATCAAGTTCTGGTTGTTCTATGAATAGAAACAGCACGACAACATATGGATGAAGCAGTCTCAGATATGCTAAAATGTTATGGGCTCAGTGTCTGATGTCTCGTCTAAATGTCCACTAGATCAGTTTTTTGACTGCCTGTTTTTTGGGGCCCTTGTTTAAAAGAAAAGAACTATCACTTTGTTTTCATGGCTCTCCTGTGATAATACTATAATGCTATATCTGATGAGGTGTAGGACACGTTGCTCAAAGTTATGCTGATGGAGGCCTTTAATTGCAGTTGCAGTTCATGGATTAGACCTTTAGCTTTGTCAGTGCACCACATTTATATGTATGTTACAGGTAGAATTTGGGCACTGCTCAATCATGTCTCCTTTGTGGCTTTTAGGGAAACTGGACACAATTAATAGCAAAAAGTTTACCTTTGTTGCCTCCTGTGGGTTAAAATACATTTCTGCTTGTTGCAATGAACCAACGATTGGCAATACTGGTCCGTCAATTCATCCATTCGGGAACATCTCAACAATTAGTGGGCGGAAGGTCAAGAAATTGTGTACAGACACAAAGAAGAAGAAGAGTGTTGTTGAAAGCACCGCCATGCTGAAGTACACTTCAAAGAGCTGTGGACTCTCAGTCGTGTTATCAGACAAACAAGCCGACTGCAAACATCTAGCAAGCTAAAGAGGCAGGTGTTTTTTATCAGGAGGTAATGGAGACAGACACCACAGGAGAAGGACCCGTTTTTAGATCCAAGTGAAGATAAAAAAAAAATACTTGAGCATTTGTCTTTGAGTAAGTATCAGTACTTTATTATGCACTAAATTATGAGGCGTAGATAGTTTTGTCTCAGCCTGATGTATATAAATGTATATACAGCATATATATATGTTAACATTATTTCTCTACAATGTTAAAAGAACTCAATAACATTAAGGCGTAACTCTTAAATTAAAGCTTTTTAAGTAAATATATTACACTCTGGAGTGATAGACTGTTGGATATTGGGATTGAATTATTAAACTTGGCTAACTGCACCTTTCTAAGCATTTCAGTTGCCATTAACAAAATACAATTGTATTATAAATGAGAAATGCATTGTTGCAGGTGAGGCAAAAGCAGAAATAAAAATAAGTTAAAGCGCTTATCACTAACAGTGATAAACAATGTGTGAGCTCAGCGCTTTCAGGAGATAATTACCCGTGCACACTGTGTCAGTGACATCACTCTTAGGTGACATCATCATCAAACAAATATATCAGTTTACTGAGAGACTCGTGACGACGTCTCTTCCACTGACGCAACGTGAATGAGACATCCAGCACGTGGTGGGCAGAGATTCTGGGAATGTTCTGTGGAATTTACAATTTCACCAGCATCAAAGCAAAAAACAACATGTCTAGTGAAAGAATACTTAATAATGTGAACTTCATAGGACTTCACTAGTTTCACAACCAAGCAACTGATGAGCTACATATTACATTTTGTTTGGAGAAGGTTGCATCTTTAGAGAAGGGTTTATTTTTAAACCAAGGCAACATGAGTATTAAGTACCACTGCGAAATATCCAAATATGTCTAAACTGCATGTTTGGCATTCAAGACCAGAGGCCCATGTACTCCTGGAGCTGTGCATGTGTTCATGTCAGCTGTTGTTGAGGCCCACTAGACTTAATCGGGAAGACAGTGACTATTGGCAGCAATGAGCTCCACCTCCCACTACATTGTGTTTATGGTCATGCACATAGACATACACCCACACTTTTACTCCCACGCAGAAACGCATGTACAACAAAGATACAGAGTAAGGGAACATAAAAATTTGTGAAAGAAAAGGTGAAAGGTCTCAAATAATAATGAAAGCAATATCAAGTCCTTTTCTTTAATGCATAGTTCTCTTATTTATGAAATGTGCTTACAACTCCATTTGTGTAATTCCATTCCAAGTGGATTAATTCTCAGTTATACACTGAAACCCAGGATGCAACAACGCAAAAGGCTTTTCTACTCACAGCCTCAAGCTGAAGCTCACTGTACCGGTGACATAGAGCTATACTGATGTCATGAGGTAAGCCAGTGAAACGCATTTAGTACATCTAAAATCAATGCTGCTTTGGCAAACACCCCAGGCTCGCCCAGCTCCGCTTCAGTTCAAACAGACGCTCACAAGTCTGTCTTTCCCCAGGGATCATTTGGCTGATTGAGCTCCAAGGACTTTGCAGGGCATGAGATGTGCTAGACAGGATGAGCTTAGATAAAGTTGGAACGAGTGCAAAAATGTTAATGAGTAATATCTGGCAACTAGGTGGCTTTGTCTGGTGTCAGTGGTGACATCACTGAGTGCACAGAGGCCACATCAGCTGGAGAGGGTGGGGGAGAGACAGAGGAAGGTTGAGGTTGCACAGAGCGCCTGGATACTGACAGAAAGAATCTCTGACACCAGCAATAGCCACACCTGCGTCAGATTCCCTCGCCGAGGGTGAGATACTTCCGTGGTTTGTTTTCGGTTCACCGAGATGATGTGCGCATTGAAGAATGGACAGTGGCTCTCGGGAGCCGTGTCATGCTCCTCTCCCAAAAGGCAGATGACCTCATGTGGATGAAATGGAATTCATTTTGGTTTCATTACCATCCATAAATATTCCTGATGAAAGACGTCATCCTGCTGAGCTTGTGAAGGCCACTATGTTAAACAGTGATGGGGGTGCATTGTGTATTGTATTCAACGGCGGTCCATTAGGTATGGCACCCACAACCCAAACTCCAGGTGGCTGTGGGAGAAGTTAAGGGGAAATGGTCCCATGTGTCTATTTCTATGGGAGATTCCTAAACACAAATAGCCAAATGATAGATACCTTTTTGTTCCTTTACATTCTCAATATCTCAATATCATCCTGTGTTGTCTGGTGAAGCAGTGGGCTTCACTTCCCACACAAGCCTTCACACTAAATGGTCTTATTCATACAGCAATATACAAGGTAATTCATTGAGACATTTCATTCATGACTCTCTCTTTTCTGTACGCATGGTCACAATGCCAAATCTGTATGGCCAACAACAGCACCAAGACTAGTCCCTTGTCTTCTCATGGGCGAGTAATGCGTGTAGTATGTTGAGATCCATATTATTATTATGAAATGTTGAATTAAGCACTTTCTACGGGGAAGAGTTGTTTCATTCATTTAGTGCCAAACAGATACAACCACAGGTGGAGCCAAGCGGCTTTCAATCAAGACTCCTCATTAGCTTCATTGAATGATGACAGCGGAGCAGCATCACCTGTACTGTGTTTCCTAGATTTCATTCTAGAAGCAGGACAGCCGGTGAGCTCTACTTTGAGCTCAAAGCACGTAGCCGCCTTTGGCTGTTTTCCCACAAGAATTCCCAAGGACAATCTCGGTAGAAGCCTACTTACCTGCTGTTGTCCCCAGGTTTGAGCGGTTGGTCTTCACGCCGATGGTAATCCTCGAGAAAAGGCTCTGAAGCTGCAGAGCGCCCACGAATATCCTCCGGCTCTCGGGTTCCACTTGTGGTGTCTGCTTGTCCGTGCTGGCTACCTAGTTGGGCCAACAGCCATCCCAAGTTCCACTCTCTCTCTCTCTCTCTCTCTCTCTCTCGCTCTGAGTCCAGCTTTCAGTTCCTCAGCTCAGAAAAGTTATGGCGGAGACCAATAACAGAGCACAGTAACTTCCCTCTCCCTCGCTTACACCCTCCCTTCCCCTCTCACTCCCACAGCCTATCCAGATGCACTCTGCAGAGCGCTCTACGGTATACCTCTGAATGTCTTTCCCTCCTTCCCTTCGAGAAGTCAGCCGAAGAGTGTGTGAGGATGAAAGGCAGAAGGGGCTGAGGGGGTAGACAGTCACTATTCTCCTCCCTCTCAGCGGTTGAAAGGGCTCGTTGCCCGGCGTGCAGGAAGGCAGAGGTGTCCTTTTGTCAACGGGCCAGATCTTTTCACTCAGCGACATCCTCCATTGTGCCTCCCCTACTCTTTCTTTGACTTGAGCCACCGGGGCTAAAAGTATTCTTCTATTTTTAACTCGTCCACTCTTGCCAACACGGACGCTATTAGCAGCTGAGGCTAGCTGAATGCTAAATGTTTTGGCTGGGCAGCTAGAGAGTTAACTTTCCTCGCTGACCCTCGGTGACAGCTGAACTGTGCCCATTTTCGCATGCTGGGAAAGTACCAGAGGCAGTAGCCACCCAAGCCCCAACAGTGGTCCAACGAACCACCAATTGCTGACTTTGGAGGGCTAAGTGAGGGCAAACTCCCCAGGACCTTGGCAGCTTGGCCTGTCTTTTTGGCCGTGTTTGCAGAAAGCAACGCCAGCGAGCTAAATCCGAGCTACAGTGGTTTTGCTCTGCATCAACGGGGAGCGTTGACTTTGCTTCCAGCGTACTGTTGGGTTAGACATGTGGAAGCAGTAGACAGTAAACACATCAATATTTTGGTTCCCCTACTCCTTTTTTTGTTGGATTCCGCGTTACCCACCTTTCAGGGTTAGCGGTTGTAGTTTACTGAATTCTCTTCTTTTACACCTGCCCCTGTTATTATGTACCAGGTTCATATTGCTTTTAACCTCATGAGAATCCCTGATTGTTTATTAGAAACCTCTACATTGCTGGGCAGTGGGATGAAGGGTCAAGAGAGGGCCCCATCGCCTGCATTTTTCTTCCCCTCAAAGTAAAAGACTTGTCTAAAAGGGAACATAGTGTCACTCTTATCTCCAGGTGGAAACCAAAGCAAACAAAAGACGCTGGAGCAGAGAAACTCGCAAAGGAATCATCCCAGATGGACACGTTCATTTCCCCCTTGTTGCGATGCACATCATTGCTGGTTTTCATGGGTGTGGGACTGACGTCATGTCTTTTAGTTCAATGAAATGAAAACCCACTCTAGCAAACAGAAATACAGAGAATACGTTTTTCCCTGGTTGTTAACAACTCGCATTACTTTACTCTCTTTCCTGGATACCTGGATATGTGAGGTCACCTGAGAGATCCATGGAGGACAATAAATACGTATTTGTCACCTTTTTGCTGCCCTGTATGTGACACTCAAAAGGAATCAGAGAAAAAATGAATTCTGGGGAAAAACAAAGCACATTTGTTTAACGGACACTTCTCCTCCCCACATATGAAGTCATCCCCCTCCATGCGGTATCGAAGAGGAAGATCTATCCAAACTGAGATTAAGAAATGTGTGTTTTGATGGAATGCCATACTTCCCACACCCAAGATGAAGTCATGTGGCGGGAAGTGAGGAAGAGGTTTGTTATGATTTCAATCTGTGTATATATATATATATATATATAATGCCCACATGACGGTGGTCCTGTCCGGGCCCCATCAGGTCTGCGGTCATAGTAGAAACACGGCCTGGTGGTAGCTGCTATTCCGACTCTTAAATAATGGTGTTCGGAAGGAAATAGCACTCAGATTTAATTAATGCAAGCTGCGTGATAAAATGTCTCCGTAAGAATTGAGGTCATTCATTCAAAAACAACGTGGGAACGTTGGAAACAAAAACAACTCTTATGGGGTTTTTTTTTTAATGAAAACTATGAAGTCACAGGCCTGTCTGTCATCTAGTGATATAATCTATGTCAACTCCACCATCCGTTTGTCTACATCTTAATGCTTCACACGGGTCCCAAATCTCTTTCTTGTCGCCCCAATGCAAATTAATAAGCGCAGGGTCCCATCCAGCAGTCGTGTCCGTCGCCTAAACACTCAAAGCGAACGATTCTCTGTTCGCTGCCACTTATTCTGCTCAGACGTTGCCTCAGCTCTCTTTGGCCATTTCCAATCCGGGGCGCGCTGACAGATGCTAACGAGCTGTCCATGCAGAGGGAGAGCGCACTGGACTACGGGGAGCATGGCGTTCTTGGCCTGAAGGCTGGAAAGGCTGGAAGGGACTAAATAGGTTTCTGCTAAGGGGGAATTGAGGTAAAAAAAAAAAGAAAAGAAAAGAAAGAGTTATGGATGTGTTAACTGGAGTTAAAGGGCTTTGGTGAACCTTTCTGGGAACCTTCAGGAAATCAGCTAGCTCGGCAGTTGTCAGTCTACCAGGAGGTTTCCGCTCCTGTCCAGAAAACAAAAAATATAAAATATTGTTTTTACAGTTTTTGTGTGGAATTAGACAAGCAAAACACAACGTTTAAATTAGTGAGCTTTGCATGAGCTGGTAGTTAGACGGAGCAAGCGATTTTCTCCTTTTTCCAGTCTGTATGCTAACGTAAGCTAACTAGCCGCTGCGTCTTGCTACATGCTTACTGGACAGACATGACAGCGCCATCCTTTGTATGACCTCGCTAAGGGAATGAAAGCACATTTGTCCATTTCTCAATCGTTAAACTATTTGTTTTGGTATTAATATCACCCGTAGTGGTCCCCAGGGTGCTTTGAGGAAAACAACCCTCCATTATTTGAGTGACAGGATTGTATAATTTCCTGTTATTGGTTATCTCCACACTTACTCGCCTACAACGTCAGACTCATGTCAGATTATTTGTGCCACAGAAAAAAAAGGAGTCTTGTAGTTCTTTTTCTTAAGAAGTCCAACAATGCTCAGAGTACCACAAAAATACCAACAACGCATGTATCACAGGAAAACAGTGATTACCACAAGAATTTTAATGACTAAGTACCGCAACTTCTTTTATGTGGTGCCACGCCATAGGATTTTTTGTTACGGTTGACAGAAAGGAATGTCTAATTGGTGTTTAAATTTTCCACCTCCAAACACAGTAATGGTTCCCTGTCCAAAGTGATGAATGTACATAATTCTGTACCAATAAAAATAATCAAATGGACTATACTACATTGTAGTTCAAGTGAAACTGTTCTCAACAAGCACTTCTTGTGTTCATCCCACAACATCTGGATTTAAATCCAAGAGATTACTGTAAAATAATCCAATTCAAACTACTTTTCTACTTGATTAGAACACACAATGTGGCTAATTTACTATTACTATTGTTGTTTTTCCTTAATTGTAATATAATACGGCCATAGTAAATACATAAACCCAGTAACTCAAATTGTTTTGGGTATAAACATCTGGTTTCACTTTTTGGGCAGCTAACCCTGTTGAACTTGTTACAGCATAAATAGCAGATCCAGTAAAATACAAGAGCATAATACTGAACTTTGAATTCTCATCAAAACAGAAGTTATTGTTTAACATACTACAGGACATATCATCTCTTGTGGTTTCCGTCTTTATTGATGTAAGTCTGCTCTCCTAAGTTGGCTTGAAAATTATATACTTTTTTTCCCGTCTTTTTCCCGTTTTCTGTCTGATGTTTCAGTTAAAAAGATGACTTACCATCTCAGAAATGTTAATTACGTATGTTTCATTTCCTGTCTTTGCTGATCACACACTACAGTTTGCATGGAGGAAGAGACTCTGAAAACTAAGCCGAGCTTTTCTCTCGCTTCTGAGACAACAGGAACACATGAGTCTAAGTTAGTAACTGTTGCTTTGACAATATTAGTCTATGCATTACCGCAATTATGCAATTGTACAACCTGTGTCTAATACACTTTAATGAAGAGAAGTCGAGCAAACATTTTGATATCATGCATGATCCAGTTTGAAGTAGTCCCTTGGGGGGAGCGGCTGAATATGATCTTGGCTCCTTTTGTTCTGGGGTCATATTTTTTTCTTCTGCTAGAATAAAGTTCAATCCAAGGCATGATTTCATTCAATGCAATTGCCAATGGAAAAAGTAGCCACAGCAAGGGGCCTGGGAACTGTTTTATATTTGAGTTGATTAATCTTGTGTTCATATCTTTATTATTTTTTCGATTACATCAATAGTCTGATTGCTGTGATTCCCACGCATCCAATTAACTGTCAACAGGGTGACTTTGGAGACGCCTCTCCAGAGCTGTAGACCATCTTAATGGCCTGAAGCTCTCTCCCAAGGTCAGCCACCGCGGGAAACAAAGCAGCCACTCATCAGCCAAACCCTGGAGGAGAAGGTCATTTCCATCTTAAGCTACGGCGCCCGTGACCCGGCGTGGGTCGTTAGCAGAGACGGGAGACCTCAGGGCCTCGGATGGGGGGGGGGTTCAATCCAAACAACAGCTGTGTATCATACAGCATGACAAAACACTCATAGAAGAAACTTCTTCTCTGCAACGGACACGAAGCAAGTGGGCTGCTAATCACTTTAAACTGAGAAGTATACGTTGTAAATACGTAAAAGAAATGATTGAAACGTTAAAACGATTTTTAGAAGACAGGGTGAGTGAGAGGCGAGGGGGGGGGGCGGGTTGCTTAATTGTTTAAGGATAGCAGAATTTTCAATAGGTAATTCTATTTCACATCCATGCAGCATTTATAAAGGGAAAACTATGAGTTATTGATGATCACGTAAGTAACTGATTTAGAACTCTGATCATCAACCGATACTACGTGTTGTAGTTTAATGAAGTCCATCGCCATTGAATTCGCTGCCCTCTTTTGGCTTTGACGCGTAATTACATCAACAAAACACGTTTTTTTTCAAGGGCACAGCCAAACCCCGCCTTCTTCATTTTGATTGGTTTAGATTGGAATTGGCGCGTAGTGATTGGATACTCACACGTTGGGTTGGGTGACGGAGGAGGAAACGTACGGGAGGAAAACGGCACCGGTGAGAAACGTGGATTTAAGCGTTCTTAGCTGTCTGTCCTTCTAATGTTCCGTTTGTAGAGAGCTCAGTCGTACCTCTTCTTGTTTAATGGAAAAACAACAGAATTATTCTGCTTGAATTAACAGCCTCGCGTTCTTCTAACAGCATACGACCCAATATGTTGACTTTAGCCGCGATGCTAACGACCGTGTGAAGCTCCGGCTGCCCTCAACTTAAATGTAAAGTGAATTACTCCAGTTTGAGGTGATTTCACTACTTCTTCAGAAGAATGTTGGGGGTTTAACGTAGCTGCAGATTCCTCGGGGGGGCCATTGCCTTAAAGTAACTAGCTAAACACACACACGTGTTTTCATAATGTTGAGTGAATGTGGTTTTATGATAAACTCGACCAGTGCTGCTCCCATTGGTGGTTTAGTGGGTAGGGGTCACGGGGGGGGCAGCCTGAACATCTCCTTAAACAAGTGGTGTGGGATGAGGGTTGATTTAAGTAGAAGAAACGACAGGGAATAAGTCTTCCTCCAAACACCAGAGTTTGTGTCCTCATGTTGCTCATTTAGTCTTCTGTTTTAACGCCACTAGGTGGCGCACGAGCTCTTATGATCAGACACCATAACCTTTTAAAGTCAACCTCAGTAATCAGTACTTGACAATTTTGCCAGAATTGCCCTGTGTTGTTTCACGTCCGATGTCCTTTGCAGGATGTTTGTGGTTGAAAACATTTTAATTTGAAAGGTTGGAGAATATAATGAAATACTTACCTGTGGGCACCTGGCCTGTCTGTGATTCGATTACCTACCCCCCCCCTCCTCTCCCTCAACCTAACATCATTTTCACAGACTCTTTCAAAAGCTATTACTGAGAGGTTATCATTACAATCAATGCCTCACATGTTGCCCTTTCCAGGTTTTGTGCGGCTCTCGGCTCCGGAGCCGCTCTGCTGCAGAGGAAGCCGATCAATCACCTTTTTGTTATTCTTTTCTTCCGCAGCGTTCACCGGAATGATGGCCGCCTCGGGGAAACTGGCGTCTTTCCGTCTGCCTCCCCTGCCTACTGTGGGCGAGCTCATAAAGCTGTACAACCTGCGAGCTGAGAAACAGCTGTCCCAGAACTTCCTGTTGGATTTGAGGCTCACAGGTCAGCCGCTCTCACTCTTCCTTTCAGTTGAGCTCTGCACGGGAAAGACGTGTTCACCTTGCCAAAGCAATCCTTTCTCTTTTCCTATGCTCCGCCTTTGGTGCACCAGTACCTGCTGCTTTTTTTTGTCCGAGCACTCGATTGCACAGCTCCACCTCACCTTGTTTCAAGGCATTGAAACCGACAGGGTTTTCTGTTCGGTCGAGGTTGAGTAGATCTCCTTCTGCTGTGAATGGAGCGAGTCAATTGTTTACAGCCCTTGCAGAGCTCGAGCCTTAATGTAATTATCAGTGATGCAGTGCAGGTTTGATCTGCTCTCTTGTCCTTGGACAAGGTGACTGTTAGATTAATGCACCTCCTCTTCATCACAAAGACGCAGACGGATATTGTAACATCACACTATTAATCTCAATTTATACACCCCAGACTCTAATGAAGACATTTGATTAGAGTGTACGGTGTTATTTATGTGGCACATTAGTTAAACTAAGTAACTACCTTCAGTGTACGCAAAAATATTGATGAAATTTCTCCATTGAGTTGTTGATTCATTTTCCATCGTTTTAGACAAAATCGTGCGTCAGGCGGGCAGCTTGAGGGATGCACATGTGTGTGAGGTGGGTCCTGGTCCCGGTGGCCTCACCCGCTCCATACTCAATTCCGGGGTGTCAGATGTGCTTGTGGTGGAGAAGGATACACGCTTCATCCCAGGGCTCAAGGTAAATTGAACAGCCACACCGATACAGGCTTTTACACAATGTTATCAAGGTTATTGGGTCACTCGGCAGAAAAGGCTCCTACGCTGTCAGCTCTCATTTGCCGTTCAATCCACCTCAGCATCATTAGCCACCTGCGGAGTGACTGAAGATTATTTAGAGGCCCGGGAACACCATTTTTCTCATTTAATGTCACCTCCATTTCCTCAGCTGTTGTCTGAGGCGGCACCAGGAAGGTTGAGGATCGTCCACGGTGATATACTCACCTACCGGATGGACCGAGGATTCCCAGAAAATGTCTCCAAGCCCTGGGAGGAAGGTGCGAACCGGAACCCGTGAATGCCGTTGCAGGCGTCGCGCGTCGTCACATGCAGTTGACCTGTGCAAGTGTGGCTCCACAGATCCACCAAACCTCCACATCATCGGGAACCTCCCCTTCAGCGTGGCAACCGCCCTCATCATTAAGTGGCTGGAGAACATGGCCGACAGGACGGGGCCCTTTGTCTACGGACGCACACGGCTCACGCTCACCTTCCAGAAAGAGGTGGCAGAGGTGCGTGAAGATCGGGGCCTAAATTTGTTCCATATATAGAAATATATACCACTAAGCTGGTCCTGTGGAATTTGTCTTACTAACTTGTGTGTGTCCTCCACCCCATCCAGAGGTTGACAGCCAGCACGGGCAGCAAACAGAGGAGCCGACTGTCCATCATGGCTCAGAATCTCTGCACGGTCCGCAACTGCTTCACCATCCCCGGGAGGGCCTTCGTCCCTAAACCGGAGGTAGGGTTACACTTTGATGATGGTTTCTTAATATCTCTAAATGTAATCCTGCCATGCCGAGAAAAGGGCAATTTCAACCGTAAGCGGCAGTATGGAATCAGTGACGGGCAGATGCACACGTTATTATGTCGCAGTTCTTGACCTACGAGGCCTCAATCTGCTCACGTCTCCCCGGCTCTGCCCCAGCCAGAGTCCCTCACCGTGTCACCATTGGCACCCCCCCCCCCCCGCCTCCTCCCTCCCCCCTTCCTTCTCCTCTTGCTTTAAGGCTTCATTAAGACAGTGTTGAACGGATGTTGTCTCTGTTCGTTCTCTGGACCCTTTCTAGGTTGTAATGATGCCTGCTGGGTATTTGAGACGTAGCACGATCACACTGCTGCTTATAATGAGGGCCCTGGTTCTTTTTTGGGACCATTTTCTCGCTCTGCGTCTTCTAGCCCGCGTGCCTCAGTGGGGAAAGAAAGACGTCTGCTCTTACGTAACATGTAAAATGCAAAGTTTTTAGGGGGTAAGGATTTAAAGTAGGACTGGGGGGGGACATTAAGAAAATATAAGTACCGCTGCATGATTTGAAACATCAGCGTTGGTTAATAGACAGCTCTGCCGAGATGGACTTGGAGATTACAGGCAAACAACTCCCAGCACATCTTTGTACAAATGAGACCCTGTTGTTCTTTTCCTGAATTAAAGGATAGGTGTTGGGTTGATGTCAGAGATGGACTGTTGGTCCCCTGAAGATGTCGTGGCTCTTTAGAAGACCCACTATTGGTCAATATTTAATCTCCTGTGTGGCGTAAAACGCAGCGGAGTGAATGGGACCAGGGCTGATTGTTCATTCTCTTAGAAGAGATGGCTGCCAATGATTATTTTATCACCATCGGCAGCCTTTCAGTGCTTTTCTTTTTTTTTTTTACTCTTAAAAGTCTTACTTTTATGTGCATGACGAAAAAAGGCAGCTTAATGGATTTCAGCATGCTAGACTGTGTTTCCCACGCGTTAACATGTATGTGGTCTCGGAGTGCCCGGGCGTGTGTTCACTGCAGATGAATCGGCCGCCCCCCCGCACGCACGCACACCCCCCCACTAAATGTTTTAATGGGCACTTGGTCAAACGAATATCATTAGGAGAGATGATGTCGGTTTGATGAGCAGGCCTCCTGCTGCCGGTGTCCTCATGAAAGATCAGAGAGCACAGCCAGTATGTAAATGCCATGATACACTCTGCACTGTGCAGGCCCCTGTTTACTACTATGTCATGTGGTATAATTCACAAAACCCTCTATGGGTCCATATTGTTTACTGGTCCACACCAGCGTAATTACACTAAATTGCATGAAGCATAAAAACGTCCCGCCTGATCGATGGGACGACATTAACGGCTGGTGGGGGTTGAAGTTGTGACACGCAGCTAAAGCAGTGGTTTGTCTGCAGAGCCGACCGATATGTTGTATGGAAGAATATTGTCACAACTGCACTGTACAATGTGTGTAGTTATCTGTTGATATACACAAGTTATATAATTCCATAATACATTTAATATGAGAGAATTGGAGTAAACGTTATAACCCCTTTGTGGGCAGAAGTTCATCATAATAGAGGAGTAACACACGTTCTCCCTCTGCTCCCCTCTCTTTCCGCCTGTCTCCCTTGGTTACTGCATCGTGTGTCATTTTTGGGGAGTGTGTGTGTGTGTGTGTGTGTGTGTGTGTGTCTCATACTTACAGCCAATAAATCAGCTCAGTGTTTGTATTCTCTAGTTTCCACTGCAGATGGGGGATCACTGGTTGTGTTAACGAAGCTTGACGGGATTGTGTCTTTTCTTTGTGCCCCGCTTCCGGCGCGTGTGTGCCCAAACCTGAGGCTCCCCGTTCCGCGGGGGGGGGGGGGGACGAGCGTGAGTCATGGCCGGTCTGGAACCCGGGGGGGGGGCCACCGGGTCACGTATCGATGAGTTATTTCTGAACGCTTGTGCGAAATGCCACTGGCTCTCAGCTGTCCTCCTCCCGCATCACCAAAGGACGAGTGTCTCACACTCCAGCAAACAGGATATGCGGCTGCAGGTGACGCACCGCACATATCGCAGTTCAAGCGGTTTAATTCTGTGTAATCAAAACACAGAAAGAGCGACGGAAGGACAATGACATTACTGGTCCGTCCCAAATAACCATGATGAGAAAATAGCTTCAGTTAAAAGCCGGGCGAGGGGGGGTTTGATTGGTCGGTTGAACCTATAGAACCAGTGTGAGCGAATAGGATAATGAGCAGGGAAATGTTTGAATCCATTTTAAATCAGCGGCTGCCGGGGGCCCATATTGACTGCGGCGGGCGGATGGGCCCCCCTTTCTCCTTGCGGATCACACCTGCCTACCACTCCTCATTAGTCACTGCCGTCCCGTTGGTTCTCACGGTCGGACGGACGGGTTGAGGACGTCTTCCTGTCGGTCACAGCTGTGCGTTTATCTGGAAGGTGTCTTTAAGTGTTGCACAGAGGAAATAATCGGCTTCTCTGCGGTTGCTTTTAGTCATTATACACATCTCTCATTTGTATTCCGGCCAGAGGTCGAGGAGTGCCGGAGTTGCATCTGCGTCCTGCGTCCGCCGCGCTCAGTCATCCATTTTCATCTTCGCTGCCTCTTTACGCAGAGAAAGAGAAGTGTGTGTGTGTGTGTGTCGTGACTGGCTCGTCGCTCTCTCCCTGCCTTTCTGCTTCCAGAGCCGAATGCGATTAAAATCAACTCGTGTCCGTCACATGCAGGTCTTTGAGTCGGACAATACGTGCTCCGGTCACGAGCAACCTGCTGTCTCTGCTGTAGAGCCACCACGGCGGCGACCACTGTGCTGTGAGGAAGAAGAGGAGACATTGAGAAGAAATCGTCAAGGACAGAGATAACATTTTTTCGGTAAAAGAAAATGAGTTTGAGAAAGCTGGGGAATGTAGATAGGAATAAAGTATGCATGGAAACCGACCGAAACCACGGTGGGATATGAAAAAATACCTCTATCAGATGGTTGTCTGGGGGGCCGGTCGCTCTGAGTAATGGACGCTCAGCTGACCGAGCCTCACGGGACGAGAGCCACCCGGACGTCTGTCTGGTACTCAATCGTCGACCAAGACCGCGGGGCCAGTTGGTCGCGTTGAAGCATCCGTTGTCGCCGGGCGAGACAACCGGCTGTAAAAGTCCCACAGATAGATAAAGTGCGTCTTCAATAATTAAAAAGTAATATCCTCAGTTTCAGCGGCTGTTAATCCGTACAAGTATGTCCCTTAAAGTTCCGGGCGGTTTCGGTGTACGGCGGTGACGGATACCTCCTCGGTGACCCCGGTGAGAGTCCACTCAAGAGGAGGAGCGCCGGCCGCTTTCCCACCTGCACGCACACTACTCACCCGAGCCCGTTTCTATCTCGCAAACGGGGTCAAACGCGGTACGGGGAGGATCGCGCGAAAGTTATTTCAATGACTTGGCGGTAAACGCCCGCAGGGCTTTGTCTCAATACATCACAGAGCCCGAATACTCTCCTCCTCCTCCTCTTCCTGTTTCCCTTTTAAACAAAATGCAGAGGTTGGCAGAGTTGGATTGTGAACATCTCCAGAGATCTACTGCTCCGCCTAACAAAGAACCGGGCCTGGTTCGCTCAGTCAGCGTTCAGTAAAAAAAAAAATCAAATTCAGCTCTGTTTAGTTAAGTAAGCAGGCCAGGAGAATATGTCGGCATTATGAAGAATAAGGCTAAAACACCTGGCTGCGTCCCAAAGGAGGAAGGTCGGCTTTAAATAATGAACTTGCTGGTGGTGCGAAGATGTGAGGATAACAAATGAAGCTGGTTTAAAATGTGTTTGCAAAAGCCTCAACCCAATGGAAGCCAATCAGCTCTTATTTGAAGGCTCAGAGTAAAAAAAATCTATCGTAGTTCTCGATTTCTTCCTTTTTTCTGTATCCGGGCGTGAAAGCGCGCCTCTGCCTTCGCTAATACACCGCTTCTCCCCTGGGACACTACACAATACAAACCACAACACAAACCTCATGGATCAGCTCCAGGCAGACAGCCATTGTTTGCCAAAAACCTTGTGTGTGCGCGCGCCTTCTCAGTCATTTAGCCCCCCTCACCTTCAGCTCCCAGGATCCTCCCAGTGAAAGCTGAAATATTAAAGGGCTTCCTTTTGAGCTGTCACAGTGTATTGTTTTCCTACAAGCGCTCCTTTGTCGTCTGCGTCGCTCTTTCTGCCTTTCTCAGCAGTTAACTGCTCGGCCAAGGTCGTTGCTGTTACTCTTACCCCCCGTTACCCTCCTCCCCCTCGTCCACCGGTGGAAAGGCGACAAAGGAAGGTCGTTCTCCCTTCGGCCTCGATGGCCACGTAACATCCCCGAGATGGACCCTCGCGTGCTCGGCGGCTCACGGCCGCTCGCTGTGCATTCCAGCAGCGCGGCGTTTGGTGGCCCGGCAGTTCCTCAGCGCGCTCTCGCATCCGCTTCGAGGGGGGGGGGGGGGGCCCTCGCGTCCGCCTCCGGCTCTCTCGCCGCAGTTGATCTCGGGAAAGGTCGCTCGCCGGTCAACAAGGTCGGCGAGGGTGACCTGCGGATCTGACTTGAGGCGGTGGACTTCACAGGGAAGCCTGACGCGTGATTAATCCCCGGCGTTGACAAGCGCTCACCTCCCTTCACATTCCAGATCTGTCATAGCGGCAACTCGGGGTGAGAGCCTTTGATGGGAAATGTAGGTTAAACACACGGAGGAGCAGATCTTATTAGCGTTTTCCCCACGAGACGAGCGGTTATTTGATCTGCGCTCTTGTTGCGTAACCAAGTGGAGCGGGAGACTGCGAGGGAGCTGTGAATATTCCATGTTTGTTTCAGGAAAGCGCGTTTTCACTCCAATCAGCTGTAACGAGGGCCCCGATTCACGTGAAAAGTAAATAGAAAGTAAGCGAATTGTACGGGCTACGGAATGTGACAAAGATATTAAAGTGGGAAAGTTTTCTGAAACCAGTTTTAATTGAAATTTAGCAAGTTGTGCAACTTTTTTTTTATTGTACGTTAAGAGTGCGTTAAATTAGCCTTACTTATATCTAATTTCCCTTGGTAAGTTTCTTTATTGTGTGTATTAAGACTGACTGGATCCTCTAAGCAGATACTGGTATTGATAATAAGTCTTTTGAAAGCTATAAAGTATTTGTAATGAGACTAAAATGTGCTAAGCGGGTAATTAATATTTTCATTATCTGGTAATCCGACAATTATTTTCCACAGGCATTCAATTTACGATTACATAAAAGAAAAGTATAATCACCATTAAGTAGCTGGAAGCAGAATGAACAATAATTGATTATCAAAGTATCCGCAACTCAATTTTCTGTTGGTCCACAAATCAATGAATCGACGGATCGTTTCCTCTCTGACGGTTCAAACTACGGAGAAATGTCTTTGCGCGGCTAACAATCTTATGAGCGCTTACCGCAGTCAGGTTGGTGATTTGCACGGCGTGTCTCCCGGGTTCTGCGTGCGAGCAGCCGGTCGGCGGCGCCCGGCACAGCTCGTCCGCTCCAACACAAGCTGCAGGCTTGGCAGGAAGCTGAAAGCCGCGTCCGTCCTCATCGCCGCGACAAGCACGAGCTCACGAGACGACACCCACGTTGCTTTCACAAAATAGTTTTATTGGTAAAAAATAGAACTACTTGCACAAGCACATTGAGACCACTGTATCAGAACTTGTGAACTATTAATCATCACAAATATGCTCTGGCAAAGTAAGAAGTGCTAAAGCATCCACAAAAATAAGCTGCAGTTATCAAAATTATAAACGTCTTGTTACAGTATACGCAGGAGAGTGGTAACTCTTTAGACTTTTAGGACCTAGTCACTTTGCACTCTGGCCACTTATAAGCTGATGAATTTGCGTGCTGATGATCCGATTGCACAGCCACAAAAAAAGAGAAATCTCTAGCTCCTATTTTCTTGCTGATCATCAGAGAAACCACTTATTTTTTTGCCAGTAGTTTGTGTGTTTGTACTGGTCCGGGGTGCTTGGAATGCTCAGCCGTTTCAAACAAAGTAACACAAGTAAAAGTGCATCGAGTTGTCTTCTTATAAAGAAGATATGGTATGAAGATGAAATTGTATTTAATACTGAAACAATCTGAGGGAATCGTGATCCCTCTGAGAAATGAAACCCGGTGAAAGCCGGGACGCTCGGGTTCTGTTGTCGTGGACTCAAAGTGAACCGGAATTAATGAAACGCAAACATAAGAACATTTAGAAAATACCGCACTCATTACTCCTCAATGAAACACTCACCCCTATAAAGTCCTGCTGTGCTTTGGGAAATTAAGAGTAAAGAGGATTTAAAATAACCCTCGAAAGCTTCACTGGACTGAACACAAGCATCTAGTTGACTTGAGACTTCGTCTGGCAGAACAAATCACAAATCCGTGAAACATTTGTTGATGTAGAATTCACGTACAAACAACCCAATAAAAAAATAAACAGAAAGAACTCCAGATAGTATTAAAATGTGTCCTCGTGAAAAGATTTGGCACATTCTCAAAACACATAACGTGTCGGTATTGGTTGATCACATGGCACATTCTTCTTCGTTTATTGCATTGGTTATGGTGCCTGGGCAGTGAGTCATTGTCAGGAGGCCAGTTCCGTCGGCTATGTGGTGGGCAAGATGGCTGAATCGGCGGAGGGGGGGGGGGGTAGAAACCTGGCCCTAGAGCGCTGGCAGGGCCGGTGGCGAAAGGGCCCGCGGCGTGCCCGTCAGCGGCCTGCAAGTGGCGAGCTGGGCTCGGCCATCTGCTCCTCCCCCAGGAGTCTGCATGCTTATGTGAGAGAGAAAGAGAGAATGTGCAGGCACTATACATCGCTGCCTCTCCGCCCGTCTCAAGCACCGGGAAAAACCTCGAGACCCCCCCCTCCGTCACCCCCCTCTCTCCCTCGCGAAGAGCAGACGCCCTGATGTCTGACGGCGCCACCGACACCAGAGTAGGATGGGGTGGGGGGGGGGGTATGTTTGTGTGCATGCGTGCCTTCAGCATGCATTAGCTTTCTCTTCTCAGCAATCGCATCTGTGTGACATCGATGAGACAAAAGCAGGACAGTGGGGGGGCGAAGCGCGAGGGGGGGGGGGTGGGTGATGGTAGAGTGACTGATAGGAAACGGAGGAATGGCGGCATGGTCAAGTGGCTTAAGACAGTGAGACCTTCTGCAGGTGCACACCGGGAGCATATGCGCACTGCTGACGCACTTGGAAAACAAGTCACATATGGAGAATGACTCAAACCTTTTTTAGCTGCCCGCCACAACAGCGTGACTCAAGAAGCTTCTTCCTTTTCTGCCTCGTCTCTGCGCCATTAAGCATCCGTTCATCCCTGGGAGATTACTCGCATGGTGGAACTATCGGAGTGGGAAGCAAAGAGGGCCTTTTTTTTATTATTTTGTTTTACCTCTGACCACGCAACAGGCTAATAAAGAGGATTAATGAGAGCAGTGCGAGCTCTGATTTAAAGCTTCTGGATCCATGCCAAGGGGAAAAAGATGCCCCCCCCGCATCCTCCTTCCCCACACTCCTTAAAACAACTTAAAATCCCTGACTGACATGCACACAGCCGCACACAATACGGATATTTGAATGCCGAATTCCGTTTCCATGGCAGTGCAGAGGAGGATGACAGAAGTGAAAAGCACATGTGAAAAGCCGACGATTGTTTACGGTGTGCAGACACACACACACAGAAGAGCGTGAGGGGGGGGGGGGGGGGGGGGGGGGATGTGCATGTCTGAGGGCGGGCGGGCAGAAATGGGTAGGTGGGTTTGGAGGGGCGGCTGCTACTCACAGCCAGTGTGTGGTTTTTTGTTTTTTTTGTCTTGGTAGAAATAAATAAAGCAGCACAGATCAGATACTGCACTCTGCTTCTTCATTGAATCTCCCTCTTATCAATTCCTCCGCATCTCTCTCGCATATTCACCCGCAGAGAGACAAGCAGGCAACTGTTTTTGTCTGCGTTTTCTGTCTGAATTCCTGCCCGGCAGTCCTCCCCCCCCCCCCCCCCGTTTGCTCCTCTTGACAGTCCTCTCTGAACACTTGCAGCAGGGTAATGTTTCTACAGCTTTTCAGGCACAGGCATTTTGTGGCTATGTCTCAGTCTTTTTTAACCAGGCATGCCGCTGTATCGGTACACAGGCAGGCTCCACACAGCATGCTTTAGAGGCAAAATATCAACGTCATTCTAGTAGCTAACAAAAATATGCTTTCGATCAGTCGCAGCATTCTAGTAAAAACTACAATGGCTCGCTATGGAAAGGTTCCTCAGGCGTTATACTGCCTGTTTTCGTCAATTGAGTGGACACAGACAGATTGTAAATAGCAGCTAAATGATTGCTTCTTTTCTTTCAATTCAAACCTTTGGCGAAGGGGGAAATAATAATTAAAAAAAATGTATCTACACGGAAGGCTTCCTTATTTGCTTAATCCATTCCCTGGGGAGCGTTTTTCTGTGGTTTACCGGCGAAGGAGGTCTGCATTTGGTTAGCGGCGTCCTCCGATGCTGCAGCACCTCGTCCCGGCTCCTCACACATTCAGTTCAGTTTGATCCACGGCGACGCCGAGGGAATTTACCTCCGCTGCTTGTGCTTGCAAAAGACCAAAGGGAAGGAAGAGCAAGATCGAGGGGAAGGGGAAATGAATTCAAAGTCGTTTGCCCTCCCCTCTCCTTTTTCCCCTCCACCTCCATCTGGAGTGGAGCTCAGTGTGTAGCATAAGCCGCGACGGCGTCCCCCCAGGCTTGTCCCCTTGTAGCCGTTTATTACACGTAGTCCTGCAGGCTGTAGCCGGTCTTGTTGTCTAATGGGGAGAGCGAGCAGTACTGGTGCTGGAGCTCCTGCTGGAGCAGCTGTTGCTGCTGCTGCTGCTGGAGCAGCAATTTGTCCGGGGGAGGGAGCAGGATCATGTCTTGGGGGCCGTGCCTTTTACCCGAGCAGGACATACAGAAGATGGACCCCCCGACGAAGAGGAACCCCGCTGAAACGAAGGCCACGTACACGGCACCCCCGGGCTCAAACTTGTTGCTCTCGGGCACAGAGGAGTCCAGGAAGTTGGTGATGACCTCGTTGGTGAACCAGGAAGCCGGCACCAGACACAGGAAGCCGGCGGCGACGAAGCAGCCTCCGCTGGCGATGGCGGCGTGCCGCTTGGAACGCCGCCCCCCTCCCCAGCGCGTGCACTTCAGTCCCAGGGACGCGAGGCAGAGGCCCATGGCGGCCATCACGCAGCAGAGCACCATGGTGGTGCGGGCGGTCTGCAGGTACGCGGGCAGCGAGAGCACGGAGTACTTCAGCGTGCAGCTGAACATGCCCGTGCTGTACCACGTGCAGTCCATCCACAGACCCTGCATCTGGGAGATCGCTGTGATGATGTTGGAGCCCACGTCCGCGCTGACCTTCCAGTTGGGCAGCAGCGTGGCCACCATGGCGCCCATGATGCCCAACAGGGCGAGGACGAATCCAAATATCTGCATGCCCGTGGATGCCATGCTCCTTTTTAAAAAAAAATAAAATTTCCCCCCCAAGTGGATGCCGCTGCCGCGTCAGCGCCTGCCCTCGCCAGGCAGCATTCACCCAGCGCCGGCCAGGCACGTCGACCCCCGCCGCCTCAGCGGTGTACCGGCTGCCAATCAAATCCCCAGTTCTTCAGCCGCGGCTCCACCGGACTGGAGGAGAGAGAGACAGACAGAGAGACAAATGAGGGATGGAAGTGAGCGGGTCCCCACGCGCTGCCTCCTTCCTTCGCTCAGCCCGACACAAGCACAGACTTTTCTGGCTGGAAACAAAGGGCAGCGTGGCTCCGGCCGACTGGGATGAAGGTAAGCCAAACGCCGAGGGTTGGCGTGCACGTGTGCATTTTCTACGTGCTGCCTTTCTCCTCCTCCTCTTTTACGGGAGCCCCGTGGAGCTGTTATTGGAGAGGGAGAAATGAGTTTGGGGGGTATTGGTTCAATAGCTATGTGGACTTAAAGACGCAGTGCCCTCACCCGACTCATATACTACCACTTTAATGCCACTGCCCTTTGCCTTGTTATTTATTGCGCCAATATTTCTGACAGTCAGACAGGTATCACGAGGTAAAAAGACAACAAAAACAGTTTGACTCAATTGCATCTGCCGTTAGAATTAAACTTCACCAGTTCTTTTTCCTTCTCATTTCGTTTTACTTCCCAGCTGTCGCATTTTCCGTTTCATCTCCGAATGAAGATTGATTTTTTTTTTCTTTTTACAATCCAAGAAGATTGGGAGGAGGGGATGGGGGGCAAAAATTCATATTTAAAAAAAAGCCCGAAGAGCGGTGTTGGAATGATCGCTTACCCCGGCTGGCGCAGAGCTGGAGCGCGCGCGCGTCACGTTGTTCGCAGTGAATCCCGCAAACACGCAGAGTGGCGCGCGGAGAGACGGCCGGCCGGCGAGGGCGCGAGCGGGGACGATTCAGCCCGGGTTACGGGTCCATTCGAGCCATCCATGTCCTCGGCGGCAGGGTGGGAGAGGACATCCCTGCTCCGTCGACCGCACAGAGCTCTCTCCCTCTCTCCCTCTCGCTGTCTCTCTCTCTCTCTCTTGCGCGCGCGCCCCCTCGCTCGCTCGCTCTCTCTTGCGCGCGCGCTCCCTCCTCCCTCCCCCGGTTTGTGTGTGAATGAGAAAAGCGGTCTCTGCCTCACAACAACAACTTTATAAACGGCTGAAGGAAGCTGCATTCCTCCCGACTGCTACTGACGTCCCGCTGAGAGGAAACACTCGGGTCGTAAATGATCAGAATAATCGGCTAAGATTAAGATGAATTAAATTAATTCGATTTCAAGTTCGAAATTTTCATTCAGTTCATCCACGCTACAAAACGCCTCACATTGCTTCCTTCTAAACGTGTATTTGTTTTCCCACAAATTTTAACATCTAAAGAAACATTATAATAATTCAATTATTACAAATCCCAGAAGGAAATTTTTATTTCCACACTATTCTGGGATTGGATAACTAAAATATAGTAATGGGATTTATATTTTTCTGTTTTTATTGTTTCATCTATTTCATGTATGTGAGCAAACCAAACGCTAATCTCCACAGTCGTCTACTGATTATATATAATTATTTTTTTAATATTCTTTATTCAGCTTGATGTATTTTGTGAAAAGAACAGAATACTTGAATAATTGTTTAAAAAGTCCCATGGAGTTAAAACTTTGATTAATGACGGAACGAGCACATTATTCATAATATGGATTACGGAATGGGCTTTGTTGCTTGAACGGATCGAGGCTACAAATTATTATTTGTTTCTGTAGATTCCAGATGAGATGGTCGTTGTGCAGTACGAAGCTTTGTTTTGGTTATGTGTTGTCTCAGAGGCGCACGGTTACCCCTCCAGGCCCAAACTGACCCTCCCTGGGGCATCGTCTTCGTCGGGCATCCGTCGGCTGGAGCCTAAAACTCACAGCTGCTACCTCGTCTTCCCTCGCCTCTGTGTAGAGGACACACAACAAGGGAGGGAGTGTCTCGGGTGGCCTTGGTTCATGAATGACAAAGAGGGCAAAATGGGAGAGCGAGGGGAGGGGGAAAAAAAAAATCTGATTGGACTAATAGACGTGATACCCTTGGAAACGCAGATGTGTGTTGTTATTTTGCTGCCTCGGCAAATCAGCAAAAAAGAGCCAGCCTGCCAGAAATAATCCCGACCACCCTCCTCTTACAGTGTAACGACCAGCCAGTGACCACGGTGATGTGTGTCCGTTACATGTAGATGGGCTGGTTGCAATTGATTTGTTTAGCTATTGATCTGTTTGTTTAATATGGGCCAAAGCTTTCTCCATTCATCCCTTTTCCCGGTTAACCCCCCCCCCCCCGCCCCCCTCCTAAGAGGCCCTCCTCTTAAAATGAGGCTGTGTGGGCGATGCAAACCACATTACCTCCAGTGTGTCGGTGTCGACCTTCAACACTACGTTCTCCGGGCTCCTTGAGGGACGCAGCACCAGCAGCAGGAGGAGAAACCTTCCAGTTTTCCCACAGACGCACTACGGAATGGCATGTGCGACCCAAGTGTTGTTCTGCGGGGAGTGAGATAAATAAACAAATATATTATAGGGTGAGTGGATAAAAGGAGAGAAAAAAATGGAAGAATAAGAGCGAAACGCAGTTAACATAAGCCCCGTGAGTGCAGATGTGTGACGCTGTGATGTGTGAAGATATCGCAGCCCATTATAAGCGTGGTCCCCCTGGTTTTTTTTTATTTTATCACCTCGCAGCAGACCTCTTTAGCCTTCCTGCAGCATCGCTCAGAAGCACAGCCGGACCGGCCGTGCTCCTTTTGCCCGCACGAGGGGCTTTTATCGTCCCCATTTGCATTTTCCCCTTTTATGTCCTCCCTTGTGTAATTGGGTTTTTTTTGTACTCGTCTTGCAAAGGCGGTCTGTTGTGTGATAGCTGTGATGTCGTGAAGCTGGACCAGGGCACAGATTCACCACAGATAATGCGTGGAAACCTGTCCCGGGCAAAAGGATTGTGACATTCTGCAAATGGCCCGGCCTGATTAACGGGTCTCCTCGGCTAACTTTTATTGGGGCCGAGTCCCAAGGGAACAATGGTGAACGCACAACCGTCAGATTCGTGTGAAAAGTTCAAGCTTTTCTTAGACAAAAGAGTCCGTCCAAGGAGCTGACCTTGTCAAAGACCATGGCTGCGGTCCTCAGCGACCGGTTTGCACGCCGTGGGACATTTAATGGGAAACACGCCAAAGCCCTTTCTCCCCGAACCCCTCCAGCAACATCAGCCTTGTAGATTCAGCGGCATCGACTGCTGCCTTCTCCTCTCCGAGAGGCGAGTCTCCCTCCACTGATGAAATGGAGGTTGTCCTCTCAAGGTATTGTCATGATTAATGCAGCTCTTCCCCCTTAGCAGGAACGCCGTGAGCTTTTTCTCTCTTGTATTCCCTGGCTGTATATGGCTTTTTTTTTTTTTTTTTTTGTCAGAACCTGCCATTATGTAAGCGCACGTATTGGTGGTTCAGGTAGCGCAGTGGCCGGTGCCCCAGGGCCCCTGCCATCTCGTCTTGGTTACGCTTAGAGGGACATGACAAATTACTGCTCACACCCCATTGGGCGAGAGCTCACCAAGAAAGAGGCGTTGGAGGTGGAAATGTGGAAAGAGAAGCTGCCGAACAGTAATGGAGTACCCTGCTGGGGGAAGGTCAAACCCATGAAATATGGTAACTCACTAGTAATATAGATGTGGGACTATTGCACTAAAGGTCTTGAATTGCAGGCGAAAGCAGACGTTGGGACTTTTGGATGGAGTCGTCCCATATTTTGCACTCTTCTATCTACCAGGGGGAATATAAACTAGCTTATTTCTACCGTGGATGTGCTGGTTCATCAGGTTATGCAGTACAGCGTGCATAAGGTAGGAAGCCGATTCAAAGTCTCTGCAAATGTTTAAAGTATCTTCTAAAGATCCAATCAAATTAGCCAGATTTGAGCCTGAGCAATCACTTTCATAAGCCTGAGTAATGATCCCTACATAAAAATCTAATTAAGAGGCCAAATTACGTTATGATTCACACGTTTCTCCTGCTAGATATGATGGCTTGCTGAAATAATTACCATAAGAGCATTGATTGAGCAATGAATGGGCGGGGTGGAGGGATTTAAGGGGGGTATTAAGGTTGTTGAAGAGGGTCAATAAGTCAGTCTGCTGCCCCAGTTCAGGATCTCCCAGCAGATGCAAAGCATTTCAAAGGTGTTTGGGGGGGAGGGCTGGTCGGGGGGGGGTCGATGGGAGTGAAGGCATGTTCATAGCATCTCAATGGAGCACCCAGGCGACGGCGCGTGATTTAGGACAGAGTTTCCTTGCATGTTGAGGTTATCAGGGGAAGGATTAATGGCAGGGAGCGAGCTGTATTCCGGTGGCGCTATTGAAGCCGTGCAGCAAGGCCATACATAAATCATAGCAGCAAAGTGACTTGGACAAGATGATGGCTGAAATGCTGCTGCCTGTATAGTCCCCATATCGACGTCTGCACTTGCTCCATCTTAAATCACGAAGGGCAGAATACAAATGGCCCAATTATTCCAGCAGAAACTGAAATTAAAGACATTTCCTTTTTAGCGCAGATTGTGGTCCGATCTCTTGCACATCAAGACACCAAAATACAGATATAAAATCTCAATCACAATTCAAACACGTTGATGTGAAAGGCAGAGGGGTGGATTGTGGTAACGCACTTTGGTGGTAACCAAATGTTGCAAACCCAGGCTCTCAATGCCTTTGACAACACCTGCAACCCTAACCCCCAAACCCCAACCCCCTATCGACACTACAGAAACCAAGGAGTCATTGTCAAAAATCAACATTAAAATGAAACCAGGCGTCAGTCAACAGCCCTGATGTGAGGCCATCTAACGCTGGGAACGAGAGTTTTTAGCTTTCCAGCTTTGCAATCTATTGTTGCAAATGGCCTTCGGGGGGTTGTTGAGACAAAAGGTCGTTGTGACCCGGAAAAAAACGTCCCTTTTAAGCGCCACCGCGGCGGGACGCTCGGGACCCCAGGGATCTATAGATCAGATCAGAGATAGCGCTGCGCTTTACAAGGGCTCCCGAGTGGTACCGCCGCTGCTCACAGAGAGGAGGGGAATCCAAAACGCTCATTAGAAATCCTTCACGGGTCTTTGGACCACTTAGGTTTTTCCTTCCCTAATTATCGACGCCAGCCCGCCCCCCCTGCCCAAGAAAGCAAACGGCAGCTGTGAGTGAGTCACGCAATCCAGAAATACATTCTCCGAGGAGGCCCGAGGAGCCCCGCGGGGCGTATCAGTTTAAACGGGAGGGCTGTTGAGCCGATGTCCCCTCAAGTTAGTTCAGTGTACGTATGTGTTGGCATGTCTAACACAGAGAAATAAGTCCGCTGGTATGTGTTGGTACATGCTCAATTTGCCTTTTAAATCTCAAGTTAACACTTAAACGACTTCTGTTTCCTCTCGGTTACACGGCTGCACGTGTGCAGGACGGAACCTCCGTGTTTCTCCTTGAAACGCGCCGGCCCACATTGCAGATCTCAACTTCTCTTGCATTCACATGGACACGTGGGCTACTTTTATGTAGACGTTTCTCATCATTTTTGCTCGCTATATAAATAGTCTTTCAGTGTCATGAAAAGCACTCAAAGGCAAAAAGCACTTAAGGACAATGAACGGTATTATTATTTAGAATAACGCTGCGGAGGTTTTCCCTCGGAGCCCCGTTGTGCTCAGCCAGACAAAGTACGGCGCCTCACTAGGGAAGCAAAGCTATTCCCATCTATGGGAGGACACGCGGCTCTGCCGGCTCTGCCATTGGTCCGCACACAGTAGAGGATCCCTCTGGTTGTGCAGTTTCCCCTTAAGCTCTATCTTGCAGGACTGAACGCTACAACGTGAAACGCTCTTGGAAAATGATGAATTTGTGTGCAAATGCACACATTCAAACTTTCAGAAAAGGTCTTCTTTTGATGTGTTGTAGTTCTTTTGACCCCGTCATGGCGCTCAGAATATTAAGAGAGTAGATGAACCTTAAAGGGGGAACTGGCAATAGAGTGAGGAGGGAACGTGTGGATGTGCAGTGTATGCGTTGACTGTCAACAAGATTTAGACAGTCTGCCACGACTACTTCAACAATGTGTCAAGTCAGCTTAGGACTGAGGAACACGAGCTAAGGTTAGCACCACCACATGTCCTCTAATCTGGTTCAGGGGTTTACAACCAGGGGTACCGGGGGACCAATCGGTACAACGGTAGTTGCCGTGTCATTCTGGAAGCCCGGAGATCAGCAGATTGTTGCTTTACCGTTACAGTGTCGTCAAAATGAAACATCTGCATGAGGAAAGTGTGAAATATTTGCTGGCAATTCTTCATTTTCAGACCTTTTACAACAAAGCCGACATGATTATTCGCGTTCCCTGCATGCCAGCAAATGCTAAAGTTTGGCCCGGTCTCCCAATCATTGGTTCGTGAGTTGGGTTTGCTATAAACAAACACTAATCTCTAGAAAAGGGTAAATGCTGACCTTCATTGCACTGGTTGGACTCGCGTGTAGCTGATGTGTTAATTGTGATGTGGTACCTGGTCAGTACAAAGCCTCATGGCCAATTTATAATGGTCAGCTTAGAATACTCTCAAGCAAAGGCAGTGAGCTCACAGGCCGCCGCTGCTGCTTATAAGATAATATGAGCCGACGTCTACCAAATAATTTGAAGCTTCCTCGAATTTCTATTTTTAAAAGCTTTTAGAAACAATGCCTGTGATAGTCCGCTCTCTCACACACACACACACACACACACACACTCCATCATACACAGCCAAGCGGCAGGCACTCAGCCCTCGGTCTGTAATTGTCTTCGTCCAAAATTCAGAGATATACGTGATATTATGCACACAGGAACGCACTATTCTGCTTCTATGTGCTGCTGTTTCGCCCTCGTCACCCTCAAGAGGACGTTCAACTTGTCTCTGCTTGTTGCATTTATATATTTTTTTCTTTTCGTTATCAAAGACGACATTGATTTGAGACAAGAAATCTATTGCTTGGTGCGCAAGAGTCGTTACTTTATTCGCTGGCTTGTTTTTATTGGTATTTGTAGTTCGCATAAAAAACTAAACGGCTGTATTAGGGGGAAAAATGGAGGATTTTGTGTAGGATGAATGTCTCATAAAGATGCCTCAGTGATTTCTTTTTTTTCGACACAAATATTTCACGTTCGGTCTGAAACGACCTTCCTTTCATGGGACTCGCGTCCCCCATAAAGCGGGAGCGTGAGCCGCGTGACTGCCTAACGCTCCCATCACCGGATCCGTATGTGTTCATGCTACGTCGGCTCCCCTTGTAGCGGACATGGTGGCGCCGGATAGATAATAAGGCAGTGGGGTGAAGAGAAGAACGCTACAGTGAGGCAGCCAGGTATTAAGAAAGAGAGAGCGAGAGAGGCTCGGCGTCCATGGTCCATCGCGCTGGTGTTACTGTGGCAACTGGAGCCGGCTTGTCAGCCAGCGATGCTGCGTCATCTTATTTTTCTGCCTTCTATCCCAGGGTATTGATCCCTTCCCCCCTCTCCTTTCTTTTTATTCATCTTTCCATTTCCAGTGTTTTACACTTTGCATTCTCCTCGCCACTTTCTCCATTGCAAACTAGTTTAAAGGAATCTCTCGCTCTCTCCGTCTGTCTGTGTGTGTCTGTGTGTAGGTGGACGTGGGAGTAGTTCACTTCACCCCTCTGGTTCAGGCCCAGATCCAGCAGCCCTTCAAGCTGGTGGAGAAAGTCGTCAGGAACGTTTTCCAGTTCCGCAGGAAGCACTGCCATAAAGGAGTAGAGTAAGCACAGTTACACAACGAGCATCCAGCCGCTGGTCTCGTTCCCGCCCCTGCTCAGGGACAGCTGCGTCTTCATCTCTGTATTAGTTAGAATGTTTTTGGATTTGCCGCGTTCTCTGTCTCTCACACACACACACACACACACACCAAACTCTTGACAAATAAATCCACATATTTTGAGGCTTTTTGTTCCCCGGACAAGTCTGCTGATCGGAGCCCGCTCGGAGCGCGGTTAATAGAACCCGCACGCCGCCCATCGCCCCCGCTCCTAAAAGGCTACGTGGGCACAGATAACAAAAGGACTCTGGTTGTGCGAAAGAGAGCAGCAATTATGAGTCAGTGAGGTGGCAGATAGAGAGAGAGAGGAGGCAGCGTATTTTATGTAACTGCGGCGGTGGCACCAAATTGGAGAGGAGGCACCGGCACTGAAGCGCCTGAAAAGGTTCTGCGTGGTGTGTGGAATTAGCTGTTACTCACCAGCCTGCAGAGAAGGAGGGAAGCGGTTTTAGGAACAAATGATCGCACGTCTATATTGAATATTTGGGGAGTTTTAAAGGAACAATGTAACATTTCAATGGTGGCTGCGGTCTTAATGGCTCCATGTGAGTATCTACAGTCCTTTATTATGCCTTTTGTGGGATTTTCAATTCATTTCACAGATTTGAACCACTGCTGAGGGATCATTTTCTTACTCTTGAAACGCTACAGCGCCATTATTCTTGCACGATCGCCGAGATATCAAAGTGAACCGAGTGCCGGACTCTTTCCCATTATTTCTTCATGTTTTCTCACCTTTCAGAAAGCTGTTTCCTGAGGCGTGTCGCGTCGAGCTGACGCAGGAGATGATGCGGAAAGCAGACGTGGACCCCGTTCTGCGGCCCACAGAACTCACCATACCCCAGTTCAGGGCCCTGGCGGATGCCTACGCTCATCTGTGCACACAGGAAGCCAGTCTCCTCAGCTACGAGTTCAGAGAAGAGCTCCGAGTGAAGAACCTCGCCAGGAAAATCAAGAAAATAGCGGACACATCTCCGGACAAGCCAACCGGCGTACCCCGACAACCCTGCTAAATAAATTAAAGTACAGGAAGAAAAGCCCACAGTGCTCCTTTTCTTCACATTTCAAGCTGGCACACATGCGTGCATTTTTAAAAAGCCTTGAAATGCTGGGAAAGACTCAAGAACCACGAGGCACATAAAGAGCCTGGATGGGTTAGATCAGCTCCAGGAGGGGACGACTCAAAGGAGAGACTAAGGAAAGCCTGCTAGTCGCCCACAGTAGGTCTTAAAGAGTGAGCGTCTTTTTTTGTCCTCATTTTTTTTCACTTCAGATCCACTTGCATAACATTTTGTCCTGTGGGACCTGAAATAACCGTCAGTGTTTTCAGGGTGATTTAGAAAATGGGAACAACATGGCAGCACTATATCCGGGCCGTTTTCCCTTCTCCACGTAGTGAATTGCTTAAGTCACTTGGGAGGAGGTAAGCGATTGGAATTTCTCAACATTAAAAGGAATCCACTCTTAATGCCAATATTTATATTGTGGAAGTCCCTTTGGTGGACTAAAAATGTCACTGATGTCATACAACATTCATGAGATGCGTGTTAAGCACGATGTAGTCGTTCAATGTTTCATGTCAATAAAAGTGTTGCAATTTTAAATAATCCTTTTTGAAAGCTTAAACAGAACGTGACGGGGGCGTTTCCCGCCGGTGTGGCAGATGGCGGGCCGAGGTTCGGTTGCAGGAGGGAGAAGCCGCTCGGTTAGGATGATCGGTCGGTGTTAACCTCCAACCACAATCAGGGCTCTGATCCACGATGGCAGCTGTGAGTCATCAAGGCGCCGTGAGCCTGAAGAAACACACAGTGGCTTTGCGGCATGATAAGCTCGTATTTTGGGAGATTTTTGCAACACAGACACATTGGGCACACGTGGGGAGAGATCAGACGGCGAGAACCAACATCGGGCATAAGGGGAAAGACACATGAGTTGTGTATAAAGTATTTGCAAATCTCTCGATAGTTTAAACCAGGAAGTTACGTATCGAAACGTCACATATTGTAATGAGCCAACTTCTGATTATCGCCACAAATGTAGAACTTCATATAAAAGTGTTCATCTGACAAGATTTCATCATGCAAAGCCTTCCTAAAACCCGTGATTGAATCAGAAATTGGCTATAAAAAAGGTCATAGTATAGCATGTTGAAAAAAACAATTTTAAAAGGCGCATGTCATAAAAAGTCAATGTAAAGTGAAAAATAGTTTAGTATGGTAAATATAGTATGTCAAGTCACGAACACAATCTTATGTTGAAAAAGTCATTTTACCATATTTGCATTAAAAATGGTACAATACTTTGAAAAAAGTAAAATATGATCGTAGCATGTCAGTAAATTACCTGAATGTGCTCAGCCACTTGAGTTCCAGCATAAAGCTTATTCTTACACGTACTTCACTGTGTATAAAATCCAGGACCTGCAGTGAAGCGCTTATTTTTTTCTTCAAATAACTTTGCCCCACTTCTGTCAGTTTCTTCGTATTGAGAAAATACCTTTTCTTACGACAGCTTATCAGGGACCCCGCCTGAGATAAGCCCCTCCCTCCCCAGCACCGCTCTGCCCGTCACTAGAACACAGAGGACCATCAAACGACACAGGGTGAAGGCGTCATCCACAGATAAAATATTTATTTATAAAACAATTCCATTAGAATGGGACGTTCACATTCATTGGTTTGCTAGCGTTAAAGGCCTGGTAAAGTTGAGTGGAGAAGGTAAAGGATGTGATATTATTATTAACACGTACTTGATACGGCAAACAAAAGATTTTAGAAAAATATCAGCTGTGTTTATTGCAAATTCCTGCCTCTTGTCTGACCTGCACAGTGTCTAGTACGTATGTGAGAATACATACATGTGGGGGTGATAGAAAAGATGACGTATACAAGACAAACATAAAAAGAAGCATTGGAGTTTCAACATTATTGCAGTTTAAATCATCCAATGAGGCAGCAAGATCTCAAAACAATTGTACATTCCAAAGCATTTTCTAGAAATTGCAATTTTGTGGTAAAGACCACCAAAATCCAGTAGGCAACATTTAAAATGGAGCTGAGTTAAAAAGTCAAGCGGTATTGCATATTTTGTATTTACTGTTCAAGCCTTCACTCAACAAGTTTGCCAAGCTCGACTGTACATGGTCCAAACTAATAAATTAAAGGAAACCGCATTAAAAACATCAAAACCTGTACAGGTAAGAAATATTTCAAATATATAGGCAAACATTGTACTTTAGTGCACAAAATACAGCAAAAATAATCTTGGTTGTGAAAGTCGTCGTCGGCCTCTCTGTTTATGCGAAGATCATCTAGTTTGAGGAAGACTGACGTAACCGCCGAAGCTCTTTGGCCGGGTGTCGTCATGGCGCAGTACCTGCACACGCTGCCCATTTCCACCTGTAACCAGTGACGTCCCGACAGTGTTTAGTTCTGTGACACTGAATAAAAAATGACCACTTTACCAACCCGGGACGTCTGTGCAGAAGCTGCTGTCTGACAAACTGTGCTTTAACACCGAGGAGGCGTCCTGTGAAACCTCAGGATGTTTTTCATGACTCTATAGGCAGTGTGGACTGTTCACTTCAGATACTGACAGATTGAGGACGTCCCCCCCCACTCCATTCATGGTCGGAAATCGATCACCTCGAGTCTCAGAGGAAAACGGGATGGAAAATATCACTCAGGCGTTTTGTTGGGAGGAGGCGAAGCTCGGGGAGCCGAGGAGAATCGCTCTAATGCACCGATACTTGGTGGATTCGTTGTATTTTTATTTTTTCTGCCACCGACACAGAAACCTCCAATGGGCTTCAGAGCAGATCATTTACACCCGACTCTCCAACAAGCAGGTGTTTGTGGCTCCGCTCCATCCATCCATCCATCCATCCATCCATCCGCTCCCCTACGAGGACGGGGCGTTTGGGGCCTCCTCCGTCTCATAGAAGCAGTCTTCATTCACCACCGACGTGAGACTCTGGACGCTGAACTCTCTCTCCAGCAACGCGTTGAGGTCCGGGACCCCCGGCGACGAGGCCGCGTCCGTCTGGCTGTCCAGAGACCTGCTGTGCTGTCTCATGTGCAACAGGGCGCCCTGGCTCCTCCTTAAACTGCCGGATTTCCTCTTGACGGCGCTGAAGTGTCCGCGCACCAGCCTGGGCTGCGTCTCCGGCGTGTCCCCCAGCCTCTCGGGCTGGACGCGGGGGGCCTGCGCGGCGTCCTCCGACAGCCTGAGGCGGAGCAACTGCGCCTCGACGCCGCTCGTCGGGGAGCCGCTGTCTCCGCTGCCTCGCCTCGCCCCTCCTTCGCTAAAGCCGTCGTCGTCCTCGTCGCTCAAGATGTCGGACTCCTTGACGGCGGGGGGGGAGCGGCGGGTCTGCGGCTTCTGCTGGACGGGCAGGAGGTGCGACCCGGAGGAGGCGTGCAGCGGCGGAGGCGGAGCAGCCCCGGACAGACTGCAGGTCCCGCTGCTCAAGCTCCCCTCGTCCGAGTCCGGCCCCGGCTTGGGATGCCCGGCCTGGGCGGCGAGGTCGCCGAGTGGCTGCCTACACAACCAGAAGGCCCTGGTGGTACCTGGTGACCAAACGTGGAGACGGCCGTCAGAGACATCGCTGTCTTATCGGAGCAGAACACTCGCGAGCTCAACCCCCCCCCCTTCACCCTCTAGCGTTTCATGACCTAAAAAATGAGATGCGATTATCTCCCAAGTACATTCATAATTCGCATTACACAGTTGATGGTTTTTAAAGGCTGACTACCAGTTAGGGAATAATCCCTCCTCAGCCCCACGTGGACATGAACGTCCCAGGAGACCATTTAAAGGACTTTCTTCTGCGTGGGAAACTCACCCAGCTTGACGGCGGAGGGGAAGTGGCCGCGGTTGGGCACCAGTTGCTGCTCCTTGCTGTTCTTCTCCACGGTCTCCTCGCCCCTCATGTTCCTCCTCACGTTCTCCCGCAGGATGGAGCGGACCACCTTGATAACGCTGACCTTGTTCTCCAGCACGCTGAGGAGGACACGGGGCAGTGGCGTGAGCACGTGGTATGTAAACTTGAATTTGGATGCTAAATATAGATTAAGGGGATTAGAAGGAGAGTTCCATTGTGTCCCCAGTGAAATGGGTGATGTAATTCATTAGGAGTGATCCCGATTTCACTCGGTGTCCCGGGACTTACCAATTGGGTCACAGGCTTTATTCTTCCTAACCTCCTCGTGTAGAGAGGAACAAAAGTACCAATGGGACAAAATTGCTAAACTGTTGTCTACCGTCCTTAATAAGGGCCATGATAGAAAATGTAATGATTGATTAAATGGTTAAAAATTGCTACACAATATGGGACAAATAGAACCTTATTTTCTATACTGTATCATTGTCTGTTTTACTTAATTATTACATGTGTGGAAATAAGAGCAGTAGATTGAGATGAGACTAAACAAATGTTTGCCTGTTGAATATGAAATTACACCCAACAGTCAATTTCCTTCGCGAAGCACAAAAGACCGTCTTTGTTTAAGCCGGATTTGTAAAAACAAGATATATAATGTAAATTACTGAGCCCTAAAGGTGCATTTCCCCTCCTTCAAGTCTGTATGCGAAGCGAAGCGGCTGCTGAACGCTGCTTCATATCGAACAGACAGATGTGAGAAGAGAAAAGTGACTATTGCACTTAAAAAAAAAAAAAACATTCATCACGCTTCTGTCGAGCTGTGAAACAGATTATTGAGTTAAATAGGCTTATTTAGCTTGAGCTCGATCAGCACCCACCCAAATTCTGGGCTTGTTTACAACCCGTGAGAATGCTAATCTTTCTTGCACTTTAGAACTTTGACGAGTACAATATTATCGTAATCAACAAAAACGGTAGAAATGAATCCCACGTGAGGCCAAACTTTTTATTCATCTTGATTATGCTTTAAGTACTCGGTAGAAAAAAACTTATAATAAATCCTCCCAGATTCCACCTGAGCGAGTAATCTCTGACCTGCTGCACAGCTGGAAGACGGTCTCTGGTCTGCCCTCCACTTCCGACCTGCAGTGAATCAGCTCCCAGATGCAGCTGCTTTCTGTGCCGGTTCCTGGGAGACGGAGGACATGAAGGGGAGGCTTTTAATCGCACGGTCCAAATACGGTTTACGGTTACAGAATGAGATGAGGACAGAGCCGAGTATAAATGCCAGAGGAGATGTGTGTGTGTGTGTGTGAGGAGAACGAGCTCAGGGGTTTTGTGTGGGGGGGATATGAAGCGGGACAGAGAACTCACTTTGTTAGTGATTTAGTGACCATCCTCGTTCTTACCTGCAGTATTTCCCAGTCTGACCTGCAGCGACGAAAGCGGTATGAGCCAACGGAACTTAAAGGGGTCAGAATCTCCGCGGGGGGCGCTCTGCTTATCGCATGAGGAAGGAGAGGAAGAGGCCGCGGGTTACCAACGACAAAGGACACCGCTTGTGGCACGCGAGTGTAAGCGAGCGCAACGGAAAACAACGCTTACCATCTTCTTCTTCAGCTTGTTGTTCTCCCTGTAGACCAATATCACAGCTTTCTTGAACACTGGTGAGAGAGAACACATCAGAGTCTTAGTTTTGACTGCGAATGCCTCTTGGGGAAAGCGACTGGAGGAGTGAAACCCACAGAAGCGTTTTAGATGCCAGCTTGAGCCCTTAAAGCATATATCAACGGCCCAGATTCACTGAAGTATGTTTGGAGTGCAATTGCAGACGCAATCCGCTGCGATTAAAGTTGGAATACATAAATGTGGTAATCCATGCCCAAAGCCATTGAGACAAAATAGGCTGTGGAGTTTGATTTGAACCGCCAATCAAATCATTGATTGTCTACCAGGGCTGCAAGTTGAGGGTCGGGAAAGAAAGAGGGACAATTTCCCCCAGAATGCAACAGCGATAAAAGCGGGAGACTCACCAAACACGGTCATTTCGGGATGTTTTCTCATGCGACCCAGCGATGAATGCGGGTTGAGCCAGACCACTGAGGAATGCATGAGAAACTCCCCCATAGAAATCTCTGCGACCTGAGAGAGACACACGCAGGACGCTGTTAAAGAAAACAGCAGCAGGACAGACGGACGGCTCCCGGGGTAGAAATTGGGGAGTTTTGAAGGAGCATAATGTTGTGTGATACTAAGCATCCTTCTATCTGTGAACGACGCTCCATGACAATACAAACGACTGTTTGTACAATAAGTGAAAGCTTTAAAGCTTAAAATACTTGAAAGTACTGTACCCAAGGCGACATTATTTCGCATTCACTTTGAATATTCACACTGCGGTGGTTTCCAACTTAATATTCCATCAATTTCTAAACGGATTCAATCTCTAGAGGCGATGCACGGAAGGAAGCGTCAACAACTTCGGGAGCTAAACAGGCCAGACCCGCTCTGATGTAGTGAAAGTTATCTGGATCTACGCAGTTGAAACGAATAATCATGAGTATCGCATTCTTGTAACAACTGCCCTTGAAAAAAATAAATGTACAACTGTCGCCGAGGCGCCTCTAAATACATTCTCTACACCAGAGGATTGTGCATCCGAGCCGCGTGTCTACCTCTTTATCCTGGCCGCTCTGCTCGGCAACTAGCTGATCAAACACGGAGCCGTAATCCTCGTAGATCTTCTGCATCTCGTTGATGTGGCTCGCCACCTTCTCCATGGCTTTCTGAGCCTCTGCAGAGAGGAAAACCACAGAATGAAGCGTTGCCGGGGGTCAACTCGGAGCTGTGTGCGTGGATTGCATTGCATCGCCGCGGCGGGATTGACGTGCACGTCGCGTGCGACAACAAATTGCGATCACTTAATGCATGACGGCATGAGGACGACACACTGAAATGAAGTGTGAATGTGGCCCCACATACAAAAGTACACGTCTCCTTACGGGTAAGGTGGTAGTGCTCCTCGCTTTCGGCGTCGGTGAGGGAGACCAGCTCCCTGAGCAGCAGGGGATACTTCAGCACCCGCTGCACCGGTTTAATCAGGTAGGACTCCAGGGTGGATGAGTGCTGCTTGGTGGGGTTCCTCGCATCCAGGAATTCCTTGAAGGCCTGATCCGTCTTGGCTGAAAAAAGCGTGCGCACACACACACACACGCACACTGAATTAATATGAATCTTTGAGTCGATGACCATCTTGTTTTTTGGACGTTTGTGTTTCCAGATGCAGAGAGCCGTCTGGTGAAAACCATCGAGTCGAACTGGTCGGTGTAATACAGAACGACGGAGTCTTTTGTAAAGGTGATGACATTTTCCCTGAGGAGTGTGCTTCCACGTCGCTCCCCGAGGGGAGCCATTAAAGTATTAATTATAGCGCTCGCAGACCGGCAGCTGCATCGACACCTCCCAGAGTAATTGGCAGGCAATTAACGAGTCGACAAATAAACACAGAAAATAAGGCAACCCGGGGCCCTTGGCATGATGGGAAAGGGAGGGCGTGATTTCATGGCAGAGATGGGCATATAATTACTTTAAGGGTTGACAAACTCCCCCAGATTTCTTCTGTGTGTCCTTGGATCAGCTGGTTGGGTCCATCTGTACGGAATGTGCAACTCTGACCCTCATTCTTTGCTATTCTTATCTGTGCTGTGCAATTACTGTGTTACTCGTCCCGATAATAGCTTGTGTGCACCAACCATAATACGGTTCACCACACCATTTAAAGCTTTGGTTCAAGAATAAGGTTCACAAACCCTACAAGTAGAATCTGGGATATTTTCCCTTTAATTAGAGTCATGATGAGCCGGGTTGGAACTTTATGACTATTATCATTTATTGTTATAGAGGAGAACCAGTATTCTTTACCTCACAAAAGAGAATAAAAATATAAAGTCGGATGCATCCACTCTCTTAATTTAGCTTAGGATGGTATTAGCATATGATTACACATTATGTTCAGCATTTTAAATATCCAACGCATCAGAAAACTCTTATTTACCGTATTTACTACACTTTGTTCTCCTCTTGGTAATTCTGACCCATCAGGGACTTTTTCTGAGTGTTTTTCTTCTGCTAATCCTATTAAAGTTATCCTGTAGCTTACGTCGAGGAATAGCCATGCAATTCTAGTAATGGGGCAGATTTAAGCAGCACTGGGGGGGCAATTTTCCCACCCCACCCCCCCATGTTGGCAACAAAGTCAATCTTCTTACATTTCTCTCTGAACTGGGCATCGTTCCCAAATAGTGGCAGAAAAGGCCGGCGTCGCGGGAGCCATAAATCACCCGTAAAGATTCTGCTCTCTCACGCGCCGAGGGGCGACGCAGGAAATTATTAGGGCTTTATTGTAAGGTTTCAAGCGCTCCATGCGGACAAGGTTACCCAAACTAATAAGAAATACATGTATTTGGTTTTTTTAATCTCGACTGCCTGTAAAGCAGCTTTGACGTCTAGACGCCGTAGTGAATGAAATGAAATCGTGGATTCGGTGTGCGTGTCTGTGCTTGGTGATGGTGATGGAGAACAGGCTCGCAGTAACCCGCACCGACCATCACCGACCTCCCTTTGCCACATAATCCATTTTTCTCCCAAAAAGACAAAGTCAAACCTTCGAAGGTGACTGCTGACGCAACGCAGGTGCAACGAGGCTGACTTAACACGTCTGCGGAACACTTTGAAGCCGTAGGTGTCTCCAGATGTGGCCTTATGTCGTACGAGTGTATTTGTCATGAATTCTTCATGCGTTCAGGTGTTTGTTGTACCTCTCTCCAGGACCTTCTGGACCTTGATGTGGTTGGCGCAGAAGCCGCTGTACAGCTTGAAGTGGTCGGCGTAGTAGAGGAACGATCCCCCGAGAGAAAACAGCAGCCTCTGTTAACCGAGAGAAAACACAAAGGAGGTTACGGGCGGATGGCGGGGAGGAGGGGGGGGGGCAAATAAGTACAGAGAAAGGGGATGAAAGGGTGAGGACGTGTGAAGTCCTGACCGAACCACTCTGTCCTTACTCCAAACCGAGCGCCCCACCCCCCCTGTCCTCTTCCCTTCTCGCCTAACCTCTCGAGCTCGCTCGCTTTCAGCAGCTCGCCGACCTGTGAACCCTCGCGTCGATCAATAGACAGCACACCTTTTCAAGTACAAGGCTGTAAATCCTCTGGGGACGCTCTCACTCTCTTTCTCTTTCTTTCATATTGTATGAAACCACCTGCCATAAGAATAATGTTGTCCCGTATACTCATACTCGTGAAATCCATACTGAAGTGTTGGACATTTAATCAATAAGGCAATAAGTCACTGTGTGTGTGTGTGTCTCACCTTGAATTGTGAGGGGGTCTCCAGCGTGCTGAAGTCAGGCGAGGAGGCGATCCTCTCCTCCAGCGTCTGCAGAAAGACCCTCTGGAAGTCCAACATCTCGGGCAGGCTGCCAAACAGACTCTCCATCTGAGGGACGGGCGGATAGATGGACAGGAGGTGAAGAAAGGACGGAGTGAAAGCGGGAGAGAGAAGGAGCACGACGCAACAAGGAATAAAGGATCAGAGTCGCTTGGAGGCAAACACGCACACTCGGGGTCAACACTTCATTAAACGCTTTTTAGGGGCTAACGTGCTCTCATCCATTTTGTGTCTGGACACATCCGGCTGTCCCATAATGGCATTTTAATTTGCCCCCCGCTGCTCAGAGGTCGATCGACTCGCGTGTCTTGAGGTCAAACCGGACAGAGACGCACGGCGGGACGGAAAACCTGCGATATACGATGCTGCTGCTCCTGTCACACGTTGTCACGGAAACACACATTAACAACTTAATCTTGGGAGTTCGGAGCATTTATTGGTGTGTCCCAGTGGGGCGCTGGAGGGTCAGCGTGAGGGGATGCAGCCCTGCAGAGCGCACCAACGTATCTGGACGCTACACCTGTCGTAACATCATCGTCGTGCCTCTCATGCCATAACTCCGCCACCTACCTCGTCCAGCGTCAGGAAGGTTTCACTCTGCAGGGGTTTCAGGTAGATCTCGAACAAACAGGCCAGGTCCTTTGCACCAAAAGTAGAGAGACAAAGAAAAGGAATCAAACATCATCCCTTTGTCTGCCTGTCCTTTAAAATCCCCCCATCTCATTCCTCCATCTTCTCCCTCTACCTCGATTTCCTCTCCCCCCACTACTTTAATGTTGCTGTAGCTCGTCTTGGTATCAGTGGGGATGTTCTCATTTGGTCGATTTATGGGTCTCCTCCTCCTCAAACTGCCTCGTTCAAAAGAGATGCATCGATACAGGCGAGCCGGCCTGCATCAAGGCAGTGCGGGAAGAAAAATCTCCTCGCTCAATTACAAATCAACGGCAAGTTGGGGGAAGAGGAGGAGGAGGAGGGGGGGGCACACTTGATGAGGAAGTGAGGAGATGAAAAAAAACACCAGACGTGACAAGTGTTGTCGAGTCGGAAAGATCATGAATGTGGATCTTTAATGTGAGACAGTGAGGAAAAGGTCAGAAGGGAAAGCAGTAGGGCAGCAGAATGATTGGGCAGGAGGAAGATAAACAAGGCTAGACAGGAGGAGGAGGAGGAGGAGGAGGAGCTGCTCTCACTGGGAAACACTTTCTTCTTTTTTATGTCCAATGTCACTTAAAAAGATGATATCTTACATTTAGAGGAAAAGATCATCATTTTGAGAAACACTGTTATTCACCTATGCAGATATCTACGGCCCCCCGAGCCAGTTCATCTACAAGCACCATCACTAATTGGCGTGTTATATTTTCCTTTTTCCCCCATTTACAGGGAAAAAAATGTTTTACAGATGTTAGTTTTTGAACAGATGAAACAAAAAAGAGATAGCGTTTAATTACTGAGCTTTAGAGATGCTTTGTTAAATTTGAACAAAACAGAGCCAGAGATTCTGTTCAGTCTTTATGCTAATCCATCTGTCAGCTAGCTCCTGCCAATTATTTATTTGAGATTTGAAAGTTAGTTCATTCGATCCATAATATTTTCAACAAATAAGTAAAACAAATTGTTATTACCCAAATAAATTAAGAGGACCTAAAAAAGGACTAGGCAGCTGCCAGCGTTAATGCCTGTTGTATTTTGAAAGATCGATTAAAAACATGAGTAGTCCAGCCAAGAAGACTTTTACGGCCTCGCAGTTCTGTGCCTCTGCCAACCCGTCGGGTTGAAATATAAATCCACGTCGCTCCAAAATACCTTCACTTCAACCTTTGGTCAAATTAGGTATTTGTGTTAAATTGTCATATTTGCCCACTAACTCTTATTTTTGCCATTGGTGTGTCGTGTCTTGGCATATTTTGATTCCAGGTGGGCGTCTGTGCCAAATTACAAGAAATTCAAGACAGTCGACCAAAATCCAAAAACACGACGCTTCCGACTTCATAACGAAGGTAGTCAGAAGAAACTCTAAGATGACGACAGCAGTCACACAGCGGCGCCGGCTCACCTTGACGTAGGACTTTCTCCGTGTCCACCAGCTCCTGGATGACCTTGCGTAACCTCTCAGTGGCGCTCATGTGCCCGGGGCACGGCCTGAGCAGGGTGGCCTCTCGCATGGTCCCCGTCCCCGTGTCCACTCCCTGCCTCGCCGGAGGCTCCTTGGTGTCGTCCATCAAACCGCCAGAGCCAGAGCCCGCCCCCTCCTGGAAGGACTGGTAGAGGGTGCACACGGTCTCCGCGCTCTGTAGGGGGGCGAGAGAGAGAGAGAGAGAGAGAGTGGGGTGAATTCAGGTGAGCGAGCGCAGGGGTGATGACAGCCGGTGCTTATAAGACGCTGCATTACCTGCATGCACACACACACACACACACACACACACACACACACACACACAGGTATCTGCACAAGAACAAATGAACAAATGGTCACCATCATCCATCCACACAGTCGCTGTATAATATAATGAATGCTAGTGGTTCTCCCGTGTGTACTAGGAGCGTTGTGGGGATTTAGTCTATGCTGATTGGCTTTGCATTAAATAGTCTACTGTGCATCTGAAGGACTAACTGGACACCCCAGCAGACAGCATTATACATCACACTGCATTATTCTTCTAAACCCATAAAGGACGGTCATGCAGCTTTGTGTCGTGCACACAGCAACATGCCCGAAGCTCCCAGGAGGTCTTGTATTAGTCCATAATAGTTGGGATTGTAGAGTGGAGGAAAGGGGGGAGAGTGGGGTGGGGGGTAAATAAGCATCTCATTTTCTAAATGGAGCTGATAAAACCTCATTCATGACAAGTAGGAGCTACCTGCAGCCCGCTTTGTACTCTGATACGTGGAAGCCTGTGAACCCTGTGAACCCCTGCAGCGCTGCGCCGTTTACAGAGGTCTGTGTTCATGGGACTGCGTCGCCTGGGGTGGGAAAATTAGTAACAGCCGTGGGCACCATACTGCGAAGTCTTGGGTACGACTTTGTAGTCTCCGAGCAGCTGTGGCAGAAAATGAACCATTATCAGCCTCTCTGTTCAAGTCCCTGGGAGACGGAAAAATAAGAAGCCCATCGAGCCGTGCTTTGCAACTATGGGGCACGCTCTCAGTAAATGTCCCTACGCAATCAAACTCCATCCCAATTTCCTACCTTGACAAGCTGCTCAAGCACTACTTCATCAACTGCACCAGGCTTCGCGAGGCTGTAGTGCGCGAGCCATCAATTGTGATGCAATTTAGATTCTAAAAATAGCCTCGCGATGGCCCGGCCGTCCTTGTTCCAAACAATGTAGTTGTGTAATCTGTTGCCATCCACTAGAATCAACAGAGGCTGATAAGTGCCAGTAATAGCTGGTTCCAAGCCGCTGCACGACAACACAGCGCGCCGGGGCGGCAAAACAGCTGCTCAGCACTTTCAGCTTCAGTGTTTGTGTATGTGTAGGGAGGGGAGGAGGGGGGGGGGGGGGGGGGGAGGGAGTGGGGAGGGGGTACATTGCATGAGGAAAGCACCCGAGCTCAGCTCACTCCTGCAGAATGCACAGCAACACTCTGCGGATCGATGGGCTCCGACAACACGGGCGTCGACACGCACGCGTGCGCGCCTCGTGTGTGAAATCTTGTCTCAGTCCAGCTCACACTGGAAACTTGTGGGAGCTGCCACCCATTAACCCCCCCCCCCCACACACACACACACACACACACACCCTCCATTCCCAGGGAGCCCAGAGACAATCAAGGCTTCCATTAATAAGTCTGCAACCCATCAGCCCGCTCACTATAGCGTGGTCACTCCAGAGACGGCCCTCCAACGCTGCACCGTAGACTGTGTGAGAGGGCCGGACTGGGAGGGCCGGGGGGGGTGGGGCAGGAGGGTGTATGCCTCTCTATGTATGTCTGCGCTAAGCCTCTTTCAAGGCCAGAGCAGCGCTCCACCCTGGGGCTCTTTGAATGTGGGGTGATAATTATGAGGGGACTTTGTTTGTCCCGCTGTGCTGACGGAGAGATGCTCGGATTGGAGAACGCACGACACACACACACCTGTTAAAACACACCGGCGATAAACCTCCCGCTCCATTAATGGTCAAAAAACAAGTCCGAAGCCACACTGGCTGCTCCAACAAAGTGCTACCATGCCCACATTGATAATGCTAACATGGGGGTTGTTAGCATGTTAGCATTTGTCAATTAGCGTTAAACACAAAGTGCAGCGAAGTGTCATGGCTGTGGCCTTCGTTCTGCAGGTGGTTGATCATAAATCAAAGAATTGGAATTTTGTTTTATGTTGAACTGATTCCTCCAGAGGAATGTTTGTACTAAATGATATCCAATAGTTGATGAGATATTTCATGCAGTGGACCAACAAACATCGCCATCCTGTTAGCTTGTCCTACAAAACCCTCTTCAACCTTTAAGCTGAGATGAAGATTTATTACCATCATATTTAGAATAAAAGCGCCACTCCCTCTCATTGGAGCACATATTGCGGGGAGATATGCGCCGTTTTTTTCGGCTGTAGGCGGCCGGTTCGTTAGCCGCGTTCATTAATTCCAGTCACACCATCACGTTGGTACAATACGTGCTCATATTTGCCTCACGAATGAGGTGACAGAGGAGCCACAGAGAAAAGAGCAAATAGGCCTAATTTGACTGTGCGTGCAGGCAAAAAACGTTTTGCCTCACGCACAGATTAGTGTGTGAGGTAGATACGATTTCCATCACCACTAAATGTCCCACACCTGCGTTGGACCGTGACAAGGAGAGGTGGGGGCGCGGGGGGTACGCACGCTGCCATGACTCAGGAGTCGAAATTGCCTCACAACAATGCCACCAACGCGGCCTGACAGCTAGCGCAAATAACCAATGAAGGGCCGAGGACGTGGGACGACGGAGGCGGGAGAAAATCCCGGGAGCTCCGGGAAAGAGGATTGGATCCGACAGCGCCGCTGCAAATTCCTACTCAGGTTCTCCCTCTGACAGCTGACACCTCTGAATTCGTTTCCATTTCTTTCTCGCCGTGTATGCCCTTAAGTCTAGAAAAAAAGAGGCCTTTGTCACCTTTTGCGGGTTAGAAAAAAAATCCAATGAAATGAAGTGAGCGGCTGCGGAGTCATTTTGTGTCCGTCTGATGGTGTCCAGCAGTCAGAAGTAATTGTCAGAGAACTGACAGACACACCTGTAGGCCTACGCGATGTCCACTTCTGCTTTGATGTCAAAGCCAAAAGGGTTTCAACAGAAAACGCATGTAGTATTAATTCACTTTTTCTTTCTAAACGGCTAAAGAAAATAAGTATGAAATAAAACGCTATACTTCCTTTACCGCATAATGAAAATAAACAGCATCCATATCAATATGACCCCAAAAAGCCCTCTGATGTATCCACCCACTTAGAAACACAGTTGAGTAGTGACTACTTTCTGTCATCTCTCAACCGTCGTTAAGTCCTAAACATCCACTCGCTCACCATGAAGAGCAGCCTGTAGAGCAGCCTCCACGCCGCTATCGCCCGCCGCTGGGTTCTCCGGGCCAGCGAGCAGCCCTTCCTGCGCAGCCTGCCTGCCCTGGATGCCGGCATGACGGCTCCAGAGGGGAGATCACCAAACGTCTACGAAACCGGACGAAAATATCCACGACAAACCCTGGATAGTCGGCTCGGTTGCCTTGGATACGTCTATCCGCGTCCACCTGTGGTTCTGGTTGGTCGATGCTGCCCCTCCTATCCGGGCCTCTCTAGTTAGTGTCCGGTGCCACCTGCCTATCCGCTGGGCCCCGGGTCGGAAGCCTCAGCGCTGAGTACGCCTACGCCTGTGGGGCGAAGTGGGCTCTGACCATTGATCCTGCGCCTGTGCCGTTCAGTGAGCGTAAGCAGAGACGCAAAGCGCTCGCTGCCAGCTTGTTTCGCATATTAATCACCGGCGGACAGTCTGCCCACTTGGCTTGTGCAGAAAGAGGGGAATTCTTCCCCTGGCAACTGTGTCCTCTGTCACTGTCCCGTCTTGTTTCATCAACGCTGGTCTTCTGACATCTTTGCTTTTACATCCTGCTTCTCTCTTTCCATTTGCCTCCAGATATCCCCGATCCTCTTACACTCGTTTTCAGCTCCATTTGAACTCGGTGTAAGTTCCAGAGAGCTGAATGGAGAGTCGGTATCCAGTCTCTCAATAGCATCAGTACAATGCAGACTGTTCTGGCGTGTTACCTCGACACACAGAGGAATGGCTGACTCAAAAATGTGAGGCTCGGAGCCCGTCGGGGGGGTAACAGGGCAGGGATGTTAACCACCGCCTCACACTGGAATAAAACGTGACATGAATCGCACATTGCAGACGGTACTTTCTTACTTACTCAACTTGTTTTCCCAACTGGCTTCAGTCTTTAAGACCAAGACAAGGTTCTTACTATTCTGGTAACCTATTAGAAGACAATCCAGTGTCACGGTTCCTCTACTCCCCCTGCAGGGAGATATTTAGGATTTCATGCTTTTATCAGAGAGACACTGAAGTACGACGACAGGAAAAATGTGTGAGGGAGAATGGGAGTGACACGCAACAATGGCCCCCAGCTGCGATTCGTGATTGGTGCCTCAATCCCTCGGCTTTTCACCAAGGTGCCCCTCAGCATGGATTTTTCTTCTTCTTTCAAACAAATATAAAAAAAAGGTTGTACAATGTGTTGTCTAACCACATCCAAAGCGAAATGGTACTATTGGTAAATGGAGTGTTTCAACACTACACGGCATCACTTGTCCATTCATAAACCCAAGGCGGCAGCTGCCACACAGAGTGCCACATGCCAATCAGGACTCTGGCCTCATACCGTTCATACACCACACACACTGCACAAGCAATTTCAGACTGGTTAAATAAAGGTCAAATAAAAAAATGAATAAACCATGATCCACGGATCCAAAAGACGGATCCAGGCGCTGTAAAACAACCCAACAAGCACTTAGTTTGAAGCGTACCGAGGCCTTTATGCTCATAATTCTCCCCGTTTGCTGTAATCACGGACACTTGTCATGCAGGGGTTTGGCCCCCCCATTTATGCCACATGTAATCACTAAATATTATTCGGTCTCATTTGTGTCATATTCGTATACGTTTTGTCCAAATGCCGGGTGTAAACGGTCACATAAAAACCCAGCTCTGTCAGACCGGGAGGCGGCAAGACGATCACTAAACACCGTTTCTGCCTTTAACGCTCCAACGGATTCATTATGTACAGAACTCCGTCGGCTTTGCAACCAATCCCAAA